CCTCTATTTGCCATTTTTTGATCTATTCTTACTGGACTAGTATTTTGGAAATTATTCCATTTGTTAACTTAGAAAATTCATCGGATTTTGAAACAAAATTGCATAGTCCGTAGATTTGCAAGAATCAACGGCATAATTGTTGAAAAAGGTTGTTTTAGGGTTCACTAACTGTAAAAAAAATTGAGAACGCTCTGGGAGTCGTCCTTTTGGAACTGCAAAATACACTTTATCGGCAATATTTCTAATAGTGTTTTTGCACTTTTGTACAAGACAATACCTATAAAATGATTTTTTAGCTTTTTCCATGGTCTGAATAGCTATTACAACTGAAAATCTGTTTAAATAAATCAACACTTAAATACTGGTCGTGGCTTGTGACGTCATCCAAGGACACATCGAATAAAGTCAACGTTTTAAATATTATTTTACAAGTTAAATTGAATTGTTCTAACAGTGTTTACTCTTTTTACTATGTTAGAACGATGTAAAAAAGCGATTAAAAAATTAAAAAAATTACATGCATATTCCCTATTAGTTGGGTTTGATTTAACAAAAACATTAGGAAACACATTCAGACTTTGTATTTGTTAAGAATTTTGAACCCTTTGGTTTATTTGAAAAATTTTTGTGTATGGGTCCTTTCGATCACTCAACTTTTTTACCCACTTTTAAAGTACGAGTACACCCTATAAAATAGTTTCCCAATGTACTTCAATAAGCAATTAATCCCGTTCTTCCCGCATTTTTCCAGTTGGTCACAATTGTTTGTTCGTTTCAACGCTGTTCATAAATAGGTCAAGATCTTGAAAGGGGAATATCAATGAGCTAAATAACCGATAGATCAGAACGGTTCTAAAGCCTGTAAAAACTGGTCACTCATTTTCAGACCTGTAACGTCTTCTAAACTCTAAAGTACCTAAAATGAAAAGTGCACTCTTCGCCTCTTGCTCACAAGCGGATTAACGAATTTTTCTTAATTTTCCTCTACCTATTTGGAACGAAATTTTCAAAGCGATAGCAATTGTGTAAATTAACTGATTAATGTATGCCAAACGCATTTCGTCTAAAACAAAACGAATTTTAATTTAAAAAAATCATTAATACACCCTATAGGCGAATTAACTTTTCATTTCTCTTTACTGTAAATTGAAAAGTGCTTATTCTTAATTCGAACATTAAACCCATTTACAGTTTTGCCGAATCTTAAATATTTTACAATAAGGTTAATCACACAATAAAATCAATGTCTAGCTCTGCTACAATTACGAAAAAGTGCATTATATTAACATTACTACTGTTGCATGATCTAGCAAATATATATTTTTATAAAAAGGGTGTGTTGATGCTTTGTACTTACCTACAACATCCGTGTAGTGGAAGAAAATACCAATTCATTTATTTTCGCATTTTTCTAGTGCTTACGAATTTATTCAGTCATTTAAAACTGCTACGATGTGTAATAACCCCTCCAAAAGTTGAATATTGAACCGTTCATTTTATCAATCCACGATTGATCTTTTAGATAAAAACGACATGTTGGTACATTTTTTTCCAAAATTGGAAGTGTCCTGAGGCTTGCACTGCACCAAGATTTTAATTCTTTGCATCTCACGAGGGGAAGGGCGCTGGTCTTGGTGTTCACTAAGTTTCGGCTGAATTTAAATCAGTTTGGATTTTGGGTCAGAATCAGAAATCACAGATACCCTTCTCGTTGGGCCTGTGCCTGTGACGCTCGCCAAAAGTATCGTCAATTAAATTCTTATTCGCCCTGAGGATCGTAAATACCTCATTCGATGGAGACTCTCACCTACGCATCCCATAACCACATACCAGTTAAACACTGTCTCGTATGGTGTTTGTTCTGCACCTTTTTGGCCATTAAAACTTTGTTAGAAGTCGCAGACCTTGGTCAAGAACAATTCCCTTTGGCCACTCAAGGCATTCGCACTAGCCTTTATGTTGATAATTTGCTATGTGGCCTTTCATCAATAGATGATGCTAGAAACGTCGTTGTAGAATTAGTAAATCTTTTCGCTCTGGGTTATTTTGAGCTTCGTAAATAGACATGTAATCTTATGGAAGTGTTAGATTCCGTCCCTTTACGCCATTGGCAATTTCAAACTCGCCAAATAATCGTGCAGGTTGTTGGTTAGATAACTCATCATTGCCTTTTGAGTCCAAGCAACCTGCGCTATTACCGCGCTTACATCGTCTTACGAATTTGGTGGTGCGCCAAATCGCTACTATCATGCTATTGCTGTAGTATTACCACAACGATATATCTGTTTCAGCAAAATTTTTGGATTATATCCGCTGTTTTCGCATTAATCCCATTCGTTATCGCCCCCAACTGGAAATCTGCCCTTTCTCAGGGTAAGTTAAATAAAGCCATTCAGTGTCGTAGGTTGTGACTGCTGCTCCATTTAACGTTACTTGTGCGAGAGGATTCGCGGAGGAAACGTTCCGACGAATTATTTATGCGTGTTCGTTTGTTTCACTACGAAGGTGGTCCATTGAGGAAGTGCTACTTCGTTATCTACTGATTACTGCAGCTCGTCGTGGTCGGTGTGTACAAATCTTTAGTAATTGTGGCACAAATTTTGTTGGTGCCAATCGAGAATTTAACCGATTAATAAAAGCCTCAATCAAACCTCAGCCGTCCACTAGTTAAATTATGCGCTTTCCCATCACAATAATTTAGAATTGGCTTTTGATATTATTGAGGCGGTATGTTGCATCTCGTTGTAATATAATTGCGCGCTAGAAATCCACCCAAGCAACCAACTTGTGTCGTTAGTTCGTTCATCGATTAGATCCTTTTTTGTGTTGTTGTCCGTCCGTCCGTCCATCCCTCCGTTTCCATTTAAAAGTGGTTGATCATTTTGAAATTTGGCGCATGATAACCGCGTGTGTGAGATTCAAAGATGTTAAATTTTTTTCTGGGGTCACATGTATTTTGATCAAAACATATCAAAATCGTTATTCATCCAAGAAAATACAGAGTATTAGTTTTATCATTGTGATTGCATTTCGTTTGTACATAATTAATACATTGTTTATTTGCGTACATTTCTCTTCAATTTCCTCATTAGAAAAGGCACAAGAAAGATTTGCTTTCCATACAGTCCACTTAATTAGTCGTTTGCTTTTATTCGCGCACAACAATAAACGTTGAAACATCAAAAATAGGGTGAATTTCATAAAAAAATGTTTTTCATGAAAAGTAAAATGTCTTGATTTAATAAAATATTTGTTTTTTGGCTATCCCGTCCAATGCCAGTCCACGATTAACACGCAATTGAAGTAGGTAACTTGCCTTTTATGAGTTCCCTCTTCCGCCACTTCGTTGTGAATGTATTTGCTTCAACTTCACCAATAGATATGTCGCGTCCAGTCTATTTATTTTGCCTTTGAGAGTACTTTCCTCCGACAAACCGTTTTCCAGATATTCGCTCTTAAATTTTTGATATCACCAATGGATTCTAGACGTTCCAACTGCCCTTTGTGAGTAGTACCCTCTTCCGACAATCTGTTCTGGATATATAAAGGAATATATCAAGTTCCTTTCGTTGAGACCTTTCATGAGAATACCATGAAAAATAAAATTAATGTATATAACCCCCCCCCCCCCCGCCTCTTCAACCACTGATCTTGAAAAAAAGTCGCTTCATTAGACGTTTCATTAGAATACCATGAAGGATAAACCGTGTGTTTATCCCCCCCTCCCCCCGCCCCCAATTTTCTGTTACTGTTACTTGGCACCACTATAGGCATACGTATGCAAAATCCGAAACCAATTGGGTGTTGCATGTAAAGGTTATGCACGTTTTACTTTTAAAAACAGCATCTCAGGAAATAATTCATGGGGACGCACTAATGGGCCACCTTATGTAAAAAAATTAAAAGGCCTTTCGTATTCTAAGTGTCAAATCCATATTCTTAACCATTTTTCGTAAAATCTTTTCATTCGAGTTCCTGGTAGCTCCCCAAGAGTCCTGAAAGTTTTTCTAAGAAGGTTTTGCCTCAAGACTTCTGACCTATAATAAGAAAGATGGAGGATTTTAATTTTGCCATTAAAAAAAATGTTCTGCTGGTGAAGCGTTAGATTGTTTATTAGAATCCTGGACAGTTTTGAAACCTTCACTAAAGAATTGTGGTGACCCTTTTTTCGCATTTCAAGTGCTAAAGGATTATTCGTGATTGTTTCTGATTAGAATTTTTGAGTTCGATTAGACTTCCGGATAGCACCACAAAATTTGGAAAATTTGTCTAATAAGGTTTTGGTTGGAAACTAAGAATTTTCCGTAATCGAATTTTGTTAAAAGGATTTTTAACGTTGTAAATTTGACGAATGGTGGAACTGTTTTAAGGACTTACCAAGGATTTTAAAACAATTGATGATCTTTTTATCAGAACTCGAAAAAAACTCCGCTTTTGACGTGACTGTCGGAACTCTTTGTAAGAATTATCAAAAACTTTAGAGCTTTATGGGGGCCTCCAGAACTCTAAGTACAATTGCAAAATTTTATAAACGAGGGACTAACTTCTCGAACTTGAGGGCCATTCAAATGACTAATTGGGCAACGAAATGGCTTTGAATTGTCATAAATGACTTCGCGAAAAGCATGTAGAATTGGATCGATAAACCCTATAAAGTGAGACGGACAGTTTCCCACGCATGATGCATCGGTCCCTTTTACGCTTTTCAACAACTGAAGTTCAGTTTCATAGTATGGATCACTTATTCATAGATAAACCCAACTTAAAATGAACAAGTTGTGCTAAAAGTCAAAATCGGGGGGTGATTTTGAGAACAATAGGAAGCAGGTACTATTTAAATCAGACAAAGAGGAACTTATTGGCCCAATAGACAAAATTTCGAACTATGTATTTTGTAGGTGCGTACATTTTAATCGTGCAATTGGTAGGCATTTCCGTTTTCCTGAACACACGCATTTTGTTCATTCATATTACTTACTTATTTATATCACTTCCTTCTTGCAAGCTCAACTGTTTTATATACAGATAATATTGTAAGCAAATGAAGAAACGCGCTAAATGCTGACTATCTTATGAACTTTATTCTTGTGCCAACTGCCGAGTTATAACAGTGAACGTTTCTGCAGAATAAATAGGTAAGTACTAAGTCTTTTTATATATTTATGACTTACATTTTCATAGCTAAAGCTTAGGATATCCGTTAGCTTAGGCTTTAATTTTTTTCCACAACAATTTCGTTATTCACCTGCCGTTGAGTGGCCCAGTGCTTTCATTTGGGTATTGCAGGGTGCCGTGCCGAATCAGTTTCTGGAATACCTACTAACTAATAGTGTCGAAGCCCATTCAGTTTTATACAAGGTAGCAGACTTAACGCTATTTTGAAATCATCCCCTTAATTGGGGTGGCTGCCCGCCTCTTAAAAATGCCACTGCCACTTATATTAGCGTATTGTGCTACCAGAGTTGGGCAGTATTCGATTTTGTAAATACTTTTTAACTTTTTAGTATTCAAATCCTTTAAAGTATTCAAATACTTTGTAATTAAATACTTTTATGGAAGCAGTATTTGTATTTGTAATTCAAATACTTTCACAAATATTTAGTATTCGAGGTCACATTCGATAAGAAAATTTTTTTTCCGGGTCGATCTGAGACAATTTTTTTTGGGCCTCAAAAAAAGGCAGTGTAGGTACAACCTTCCTTTTTTACCAAAAATCAACTGCACCAAAATTTCTCGGGAAAACACTTTATCCTATTAATTTTGGTGCGTAGAATCCAAAACAATTCGTACTTTTTCGATTAGACTTCTCAATCAAAAGTTATGGACTAGAAACCAATTTCGAAAGAAAATTTAAAAGGGCTGTAATTTTTGATCTAGTAGCCTCCTCTTGGAACTGTTTGAAATTATGGATTCTACAGGCCACATTCTGTAAGAAATTTTTTTTTCCGGGTCGATCTAAAACAATTTTTTTTTCGGGCCTCAAAAAAAGGCAGTGTACAACCTTCCTTTTTCACCAAAAATCGACTGCACCAAAATTTCTCGGGAAAACACTTTTTTAATTAATTTTGGTGCGTAGAATCCAAAACAATTCGTACTTTTTCGATTAGACATCTCAATCAAAAGTTATGGACTAGAAACCAATTTCGAAAGAAAGTTCAAAGGGCTTTTACTTTGATCTAGTAGCCCAATATTATGGATTCTACGGGCCAAATTCTATAAGAAAATGTTTTTTCCCAGTCGATCTCAAGACAATTTTTTTTCCGACCTCAAAAAAAGGAAGTACTTTTAAGTTATTCAAATATTTGAGAACAATTTAGAAATGTTTAGGAAAAGTTTCCATTGTCACAAAATGAAATATAAAAATCCGATACAACTGCATACCGAACGATCCTGGAGTGAAACTTTTTGACTCGATAGTCTACGTAACTTAAAAACAATAGGGACCTTTCTTATATCCTTAAGATCATGTGTACCAATTTTGAAAGCGATCGCAGGTTTCTAAACAAGTTATCATGCACACGGATAAACGGATGGTCAAAAATGGATCTGTTCCAAAATCGCTAGGATTAATTTCAGAAAGGCGTACGTATCATGTGCACGACGCTTTGAAAACTGGTACACGTATTCAGCGTATTCTTAAGGATATAACTGGTATAAGAAAGGTCCTGGTAGGTACCTCCTATATAATAAATAATAATACGCTTTTACTCCCCTTAAATTTGTATATAACAATATAAATATAAAAACGCTAACCCCATACAAAGTATAACTTGATTTTTTAAGTAGTATTAAGACTTTTATCTAGTATACTATTTTAAATTTTTAATGTATTTGAGTGACAAGTATTTGAGTGCTTTTTACTGTATTCGAATACTTTTCTAAGTAAGTTAATGAAATACTTGTCAAAGTATTCGAATACTTTTTATAGTATTCGAATACCTTTGATAGTATTAGAATACTTTTGAAAGTATTCGAATACTTTTGAAAGTATTTGAATACTTTTCAATGTATCTTTATCTAGTATTCGCTTGTGCTGGACGTAAAAGTATTTAGTATTCAAATACTTTTTGAAAGTATTCTGCCCAGCTCTGTGTGCTATATCATTTCAAAGATTATGCAATTCCCAGACTTGAGAGTTTTGATTACTTTGGAATATCACCAATGAAAATACCAGTTCAATAAATGTACCTACCCTTATTTTTATAATTACTGCATGCACGTTTCGAAGCATTTCTGGGGATTGAAATAAAAATTAATGTTAACTCACCACAAGGAGTACTTGCCGTTAGGTTACTACACGTTAGTTTCAATTATTGGGTATCGAGTATCGGCTTCCAGTAGTATGATTGTATGATTGTGAGTGTCTGGAAGCCGATACCCAATAATTGAAACTAACGTGTATTAATGTTAACGGTTAACCTGAATAATCGAATCATTTAAATAGTTTGAGGGGACTAAGGGGATGAAAGGTTAATATTGAAAGTGGCGTTAGATTTGAACCTCTTTTAATATTACAAATTTAACGTATTCGAGCACCCTTTACCTTTAATAAAACGTCATTCAGAAATCATAGCGCAGGGCCCATCCATCGATTTATATGGGTAACGTTCAACAAATTAAGAGACAAGCTGAAATTTAGCAAGGTACTTTGTTTTAAGGGTATAAACACGCTCTGAAACTCCAGCGTCGAGGCGGTAAGCCGGTCACTCCCTAAGTGGGATAAAGTCACTTCGAAGTTCGAAGACTCCCTTGCAGGCAGTATTGAATTCATCATGTTGTAGCTCGTGTTGTAGGCAACCTAAGTGAACAGTTTCCGGCGTTTTATAAAAATATTAGAAAATAGTATTTAGACTAAGTACTTCAATGGGTTGCTGAGAATTTTATCTGCGCCACGCAACAGCTAAAATAGTACATTATATATCAAGGTAGAGAAGTCCACTATTATTGCCTGAGCACCAAGATTACATCTCGAGGCGCTTGCGCCGAGGGGTGTAAGGTGCGAACCGTGGTATATATACTATTTTTTCACTACTAGCACTTGAAAAATCCTCTAAATTAACATATTATATTGATAAGAAAGTGAACGGTTGGGCAGAAATTTTTGTTTATTAATTTAACATGTCAAACAGGCCGTATTTTGTTCTGTCATTGAGATATTTTTAAAGAGTAATTTTGTTCGAATTTTTTCAAAATGTGATAATTTTAGGTATGTAATTTCTCTGAAAATGGCGGATGGTGGCAATTATTCATTTTAGAGAACTTGTCTAAACGTTTATTGAGCGAAATTTCGGGTTGTGTTTTCTAAAAGTGACAGCGTGACAGTTCTCATTTTTGACTACTAGTTAATAATAAAAAATTATTAACCACTTTGAACAAATGCCGAGAAAGCCTACTTTACAAGTGGAAAAAAGGTTAATAATCATGTCATCAGACGCTAGTAGTGAAAAAAATGATTTATATATTTGGTAGGAAATTTTCTTCTTTACAATTTTTCTCTCTTGACATTTTTTCTTAAAATGCTTCATTTTAGTTAGGTATTAAGGAGTTACGTATTAAGAAAAATTTCAAAAAAGGTAGATTTTGCCCCACTTAGGGGGTGGTTTTAGGGTGACCCACTCAACGCATCGGCGCTGGGGTTTCAGAAGATGTTTAATACCTTAAAACAAAGTACCTTGCCAAATTTCAGCTTGTCTCTAATTTTTTGAACGTCATCCTGTTACCTGTATGCTCCCTGTGCTATTAGAACACTATCTAGTACTGAGTAGCGCTTTGTTATTTGATTTGGTTTGTATAACACCAGGTGTAAATAACATCTGATTCCAATTATTACTTTATTACCTCACATAAAAGGTTAAGTTTAAAGTTTAAAGTTTACGAATAACTTGACGGTTTACTTCGGGAATGCAAAGATCATCTCAGTTCTCAGTCTCCCTACCCGGTGGTGGCCTATCACTGGTGCTTACATTTACACGATTGTAATTTGTCGTTTTGATAAAAAATTCTCTTGTCTCTTGTAATTAGTCTATACATTCATGAATTTTATTATTCTTTGTGCTCTTCAATATTGTCTGGTGGTACGCTACAGTTTTCAAATGTCCCCAAAGAAGGAAATTGAGTAGGCATAATGTGCCGACGACCCATCTTGCTGAAAGTGCAAAGTTTCGTCGTCCCCATTTTCTCCCACTTTATTCTCCAAATGTTGCGTGATCAAAAGATTCTAGGAATATCGGCCCAATACTCCACGAATACCTATAGCCCAAAATTGTTTTTTGTGGAAATTGGGTGCGGTCTTCTTCAAACAAGTGTGGATTTTTGTTATACCACAATCGGATTCGTTGACAAAATCGTTCAAGAAGAAGAAAGTACTTTTCTTTTTCAGAATTTTATGAACTAACCCGGTAGATACATACATTAGTCAAGTCAAATTTACGACCGTTGGAGTTGACGACTTAATTTCCAGACAAATTTACCGAGCACCTCAATTATTTCTTACGTTTCACACGTACTCCACACTTAAGGGTAAACACGATTTTGCCCTAACAAGAAACTAAACCCGTGTAATACTTCAAGGAAACAGCGCAATTACCGGTTTAGGTGGTTGCTTACTGGAAAGTGGAAGTAGTCTACCGTACCGTGGTAAAGCATTGATCGTTACAAGAAGACAAGAGCGAGTTTGATAATTTGGTAATTCTTCCTTGGGAGATACTTAAACCTATTATATGTGAGGCCGGGGCATTTCGCCGAATGCCCACAACGCCGACACGATTTTTTGAAGGTCCATATCGCCAACTAGGGACACTACGCCGACCGTACCCACATCGTCGACAAGTGTGCAAGGGACACAACGCCGACCATGCCCACTTCGCCGACGGACACTACGCCGACCGTGCCCACATCGCCGACAAGTGAACAAGGGACACTAAGCCGAACGTGACCATAACGTCGACTCATACAACACTTCTTAATCAAGCTGGACGGTGTGCAACACCAAGTCGCTTTTGACGTTAGGTTATTGTAGGTTCAGAATATTTTTTTAACTTTTTTCGAACTACAGACTCATACGAAAATTCTTAATCAAACTGGACGGAGTGTGAAGCAAAGCAGATTTGGATATTAGGTTATTTGTAGGTTTAGGACATGTTTTTTAAACTTTTTAAAATGCAAACTCATACACTGGACAGAGTATGAGGGGCCTGGATTTTCGAACAGTCGGCGTTGTGGTCATGTTCGGCTTAGTGTCCCTTGCACACGTTTCGGCAATGTGGGCACGATCGGCGAAGTGGGCAGGGTCGGCGTTGTGTCCCTTGCACACTTGTCGACGATGTGGGCACGGTCCGCGTAGTGTCCGTCGGCGTAGTGTCCCTAGTCGGCGATATGGACCTTCAAAAAATCGTGTCGGCGTTGTGGGCATTCGGCGAAGTGTCCTAGACCCTTATATGTATATAGTCCAGTCCAGTTATTAATGCCTCCTAGCGAGTTTATAATTTTGCGGTGTCTGTCCGTCCGTCCGTTAGCACGATAACTCATAAACGAATGGACCGATTACGATTAAATTTTGCAGGTGAATACTTTTTCAAATTTGTAGATCGGAGTTCGTGAATTGGCAATGTAGCCCAAAAAATAAAGTAGGCCCTTTTGATATCTCCGTTAATTATGAACCGAATTGCATGAAATTCAATATGCGCATAGCTTTAGCCATATGAAACACAATTCCAAAAGTTGAGCCTAATCGATCAGCATTCACAGTGCCCTTTGCGCATCTCGACCATTTACAGATCGAATTGCAAACTTTCTTATTTATAAAACTATTTCAATGAAATTTGATACGTCATATCCTCTTGGAATAAAAGCAAATTTAACGCCAGTTTCCAAATTTGGTTTTGTGCATGCGCAGTGCCAACTTTCTTAATTATGGAGGCATTTAAATAAAATTTGATACATAGCCATTTGGAATAAAAGCAAATGTAGCGCCATTTTCCAAATTTGGTCTTGTGTAGGATGTGCAGCACCAACTTTCTTATTTATGCAAGCAATTAAATGAAATTTCATACATATACACTTTAAATCAATGCAAAACTAACCTCAGGTTTAAAATTTGGTTTTGCACATGCTATAGGCATACCCAGGAGCTCGTTTGCTATATTTGTTTAATTTATTATAAATACTTTTTCCTCACTGAACCGCATTTTCCAAAAAAATTAATGCCAGTTGTCATAAACTGATAGGTATTGATTTCGACATTTGAATCTGCTTTTTGTCTTACTAGTCGGATTTATTGCCGAATTTTTGATAAAATAGTGAGAAATACACCTGAAAATCAACTAATTCGTATATCATTAGACGAGGAGAAAAATCTTCTTTCGATTGGTGGCATTATAAACCCTCTAAGTTAACATGGGGAGCAACTATCTACAAAAAACCTTTTTCCCATGTTAATTCCCTATGTTCGCTTTGGGAATATTCACCCGGTATGAACCTTATAAAGTCTCAAAGACATTTGAAAAATCGCAGGAATTTCCGGTATATAACCAAAGAGTGAGTATTCTATTCTTTGGTACCTCTAACCACAGATAAAATACCCAATTTATCTGTGCTATAACTGAAAAACATTACGGAGGTACCTATACAGAAAACTGGCTTCTCAACTTCAGCTAGTATCCTGACACTAATTTTGAAACCGTAGTGGACAGTGCGCCACTTTTTAAATTGTTATCGTTGATATAATATTGGTATACAGAGTGTCCCATGAAGAATGGGCACTGGGCAGTATTTTGGGGTGTTAAAGTAGAGGTTACTTGATGACAAAACAGCTGGCAAACTATATATTTATTCTCAGCCGTTTCGAAGATATATCCAACAATTGTTATTTTATTTTAACTACCTAGTTTTGAAAAGGTGGCTATAAATCAATTGTCATTGTAAACTATAGTCGGTATTGATTTTACTTTACCTTTGCCTGCGCAGTTATAAATCATGAATTAGGAGCCGAGGTCTCAAATTTGACAACGTAGCCTAGTGATTCAAAATATACCCAAAAACGTTCATACTTGGAACATTCACAGAATTGTTTGAGCAGCAAAATTTGGAAGTACAGTTTGTATAAACAAATTTTGTCCATGTTAAATTCTAATTGATAAATTTACAACTTTTATTTAACTAGATTATAACAATTAAATGCAAGATTAACAAAATAAAATAAAATAAAAAACTTCGTTAAAACATTTTTGGTACCTATGGAATTGTTTTTTTTTTATTTTTTTAATTCAATTCTAATTGGTTGGAGCACGCCTTTTTGTGTTTCGCTACAAAGTTCGAATTTTGATTCTTGTCTTTATGGCTTTGAGCACGATATAGTGATTAAAATCATTGATAAAACATCTCTAGAAAATACTGTATTCAGGTAGTAAGTTATTCTTTTTTATTTCAGATCATCGGCTATGAAGACATTTATAATACTTGGGTTCCTTATTTACCTCACACTGGCATTTAATGGGCGCGAATGGGAGAATTGCAGATGGGTAGTTCGATACAGCGACAGTCAATCGCACTATAACGACGTTTCATGCCAAACCACCTCTGTTGTCAATGGAACAAGGTTAAACTTTACACCCAGGAATCACTACCCAACAAGGATCATCTCTTTTACGCATAGCATCATTCCTATTTTACCTGCCAACTACTTTTCTACCTTCCCGCACCTAGAAAGACTCTTCTTGCACGGAAGCCGAATAGAAAGAATCGAACGTGATGCTTTTTATAATCTCCGAAATCTTGAAGACCTCACATTATACAATAATAGCATCCAAGAAATTATTGAACAAACCTTTTTACCAGTAAGAAGGCTAAAATTCTTAAATTTAGCAAAAAATAGACTCCAGAGTTTGAATACTAATTCCTTTTATGGTTTAACGTCTTTGGAACGCTTAGATTTATCGTTCAACTTGTTTAGCAGATTAAACTCAAACGTATTTTGCAACACACCCTCTCTTAGGTGGTTAAAGTTGTCCAACAATAAATTGCACGACATAACATCTGATGCGCTAAAATGTTTGGTTTACTTACAAAGCTTAACCCTTGATCAAAACTTTTTGGAGCATTTACCTGCGGACTTATTTCACGGTAATGAAATGATGCTCCATTTGGATTTATCGAATAACCCATTGAAGGATTTCAGTGTTGACTTATTACCAGAACAGTTAATTAGCTTTAATATAAGTAATAACGTACTGGACATTGATTCTTGGTCATGGATTCAAAATTTAGAAACGGCGGATTTAAGTAACACTACAATAAGTGATATCTGCATTGGAAGTTTCACAAAGCGGTTATATTTAAATCACAATCACTTTAGCAGTCTTAAAGAGAGTAATTTACAAAATGCAACCAACCTCTTGGAATTAGAGCTTAGTTATAATAGCATACAGAGATTGCCAAAAGATGTTTTTAAAAGTGTACGAAAATTAGAGAAACTAAATTTAAGTCATAACAACTTGAGTGATATTCCTATTGGAAGTTTTAGTGAGCTCGTCCATTTGTCAGAATTGCGATTGTCGAATAATGCCTTAGCCGACATAGAATTTGGCACGTTTTCGGGCCTCGATAACGTCAGTAGTCTTTACTTGGACCATAATAATTTAACGTCTCTCCCTGAGAAATCGTTTTATGTGCTCCGAAAATTAAAATTTTTGTACATTGATAATAATCACATTCACGAATTAGATGTAAAAGAGTTATTGAGGCAAACATCTCACTTGAACCACATATCTATTAACGTTAACAGTTGGAATTGCAAAAAATTGTTTAACGTGATAACACTTTTAACGGTTTACAAAGTGAATTTTGAAAATGGTACCAATTATAGTATTGAAAATGTAAACGGTATCGGATGTACAGACAAAGACGATTTTGGACATTCGCAGTTAACGCCAATAAATATCACTCAAGATTCCTACACTTCTTTGGTTGCTAAAATTTCTAGATACTTTGACAATGAGTTTAAAAACTCTTCTTTTTACAAATTCTTCCAACAATCGCCTACAAACCCTTCGCAGCAAAGTGGTTCAATAAATTTTTTTAAATATCACAATAAGAAAGAAGACGAGTCGAACAAATCTGAATTTGAGAGCAAAGACAGTAATGAAGATGAATATAACGCAAATGGGACAACTGAGCCTACGGAAGAGAACTCGAGCAGTGAAACGGATGAACCAACGAGTACGACAACCGAGGACGATTTCAATTCTTCGGCGACCGAGTCGGATTAGAACTATCAAATTCCAATATGCTCAAAGTTTAATAAAAAGCTTTGCAGATTAGGTATTTCTTTCATTCATTATTTTTATGTCTATGTAAATTCACTTTACTAATTTCGATGCTTTGGTCGAAACGTGTATAGGAATTACCTATTTTGAATTATACTTACTAATTATCAACCATATCAGTCGTATTATATATAATTGTATTTTAGTTAGTTTTTTTCCTGTATGTAGTTCATATTGTATTTACTTACTGTTCAATAAACACTGTGTGTTTCTTGATATTTTTTGAAAAACGAACCAGCGTTAGGGATATTTGGGATTATTTTAAAGTTAATTATTTCAAAGTTATGCTTTGAAGTACAGTTTGGTATAGGTAATGGTGCCTAACTCTAAACGTGAAAGTCAACCACACTGTCGGAAAATTCGCTCAAATTTAAGATACCTACTATCATGCCATTTTGCTTGCGTGTACTTAAGCTGAAGTAATTTTTGGGAAGCACGCTGGACACCTTATTGCTTGAAAATGGCGAACCTTTGGCCACATTTTCCAAAATACGGCATAATTCATTTCTGGTATATCGCCAATGTTGTAGAGAATTTCAAACGTTTTGGTGTAAACGCAGCAAAATAGGTTGGTAAATAAACATTTTGTGGGATATTATTAGCAAGATTGGACAGTTTCCCAAATTTGAACAAAATGGTACCTTGTTGTTTTGCGAATTATGAGTTTTCCTACTGAAAATGTAAGAGTAATACCAAAGAATAACTTCAACTTCTAAAACACTTTCTATTACATTTTTCCATGTTTTGGTTGTTGGGTAGAATTTCGGTCACAGCTACTCTACCAACCCATCCCATTATGACTCATTCGGTACCAGTCGATCTGCTACTGTAGTTACAGTAAGGGCTCCTGAGGTTTCCAAATAGTGTCTAGTATAAAAATTATTACGTCTAAGATGGCGCGACATTTCTTAAAGTTCCTGAAATCATTTTCAAGAAGATTCCGGAAAAACTTCGTTCGCAAAGAGGTTTGTAATTTTTAATTCAAAGAATGCTTCCTAATATACTTAAAATTTCTGTGAATCCTAAGAAATTTACATAATTTCTGGGCACATTATTCTTCAAGAAATTTTCTATACAGATTAGTAGGTACTTATATTTTCTAGGAAGACTTCCAAAAATATTTTCTGGAAGATTTTTAAAATGAGGTTGAGGTGAGGTTTAAAGTAAATTCGTTTTCTGCGTATAAATTGTTCGTAAGACCGCGCGTAGTTCGGATGGAAATATATTTTCAAAAAGAGGTTTGTGTCTGGAAATAGCTCTAAGAAAATTCACTGCGGTCAAGTGAACCATAACATCTTCGCCCCTTATAATTGTGATTAAATTTCGACTGTGAAGTCGGCTATAAAATTCCAGAAAGCTCTCTAATAAGACCATGAGCTGTAGATGTCGATTTTAAACCTTATTACGTATTTGAGTATTTTCTGTTAACGAAGTTTACATTCTGATTAAAACATAATGATACCCAGCGATATCTTGGGGCCCACATAATGTTTTAAAATCTATATATCTCGTTCTATGTAGATACAGAGGTAGGTACAAAAAATATACAACGCGTTCTGTCCAAAAGCTTTTCAGCTCTTTATTTTATGTGTACCAAATTTGGTTCCAATCGGTTCGGCCGTTTAACCGGAAATGAGAGTACAGGCAGACAGACCGACATCATAGAGATCTTGTTTGATTCGGTTCTCTGGTGCTTCAAAACGTGTATTTCTGTCACAAAACATAGGGTCATTTTTTACGCTAATGCAATACCTCCCTTACTAACGTGCGGGTTGTACAAATGGCCCAAACTGAACTTTGTATTAGTGCTCCCAACCAGAGCGGTGCAAGCCCTGCCAAAAAAGGAATTAATTCACCCATCAAGTTCTAATTCTCCAGACTACAATTCCTTTCAAAAGGAATTAATTCACAACTCAAAAAGGAATTGTATTTTACAAGCCCTAATTCCATGCCTTCTTGTGACGTGTTCGTGACGTCATTGTGGTTCTATAGACAAAGAGTTTCATGACCTTATCCGTGAAACAAGGAAAGTGCGGGAATCACCAAATGCTGTATCGAACCCGAACGATTTGAACCAGAAACCGTCTTGAATGTTGGTAGGTATTTAACACAAAATAAACGCTTTCCTAGTTAACTTTACTCAATAAATAAAACCTACATGACGAATCTACTTACAGAAAACTTAATCAAATTTATTACTAAAATCCTTAGCAATCCTATTTACTCGACAGTACAAACTACTGCATTTACTACCCGTTGGGTTATCTCCCATTTGGTTGCTAGCGTACTTTTCAATTGCTTCCAAAACGTAAACGGTTATGTTGTTAAGATTATCGCCACCTATAGAAAAGTCGATTAAATTTACCTATTAGCTGCCGCAAAAGGTGAATCTTACGGAATATGGATCTTCGCTCAAGTTTCCTCATATCATCATAATCCCCGTCATCGTTGTCTCCGTTTCCGCCATTGTGATTGTTTCCATGTCCTTTCTTGCTCAACCATGGTATGAATAGTAACAAACATAAAATTGCAACAAAGCTAACGAATTTTTTAAACAGAATAACCTTCAGCAAAATTTTGAGTAGCGTTACAATCTCCAATTTGAATTTCAGTTTGTCGAAAAGGCTGTGAATTATCGAAAATGGTATCCCGTGTTGTTCGGGAGGAGTTCCGTAACTAAAGTGTGCATTTAAGATAAGGACAATTGTCAATTGCGACTACACTTACATGGGATAAGAAGGCGGCGGTCCATAAGTCGGATGGGAAGGCCCATAAACAGGACTCGGCGCTGGGTACTCGTATCCGCCAGCACCATGATTATTATCACTAGTAACACTGATTTCGCGATTTATTTTCACTTTATTTAAATTGCGCGTTTCTAAATAAGCATCAATATAAGAATCTTGACCAAATTGTAGTGGAGGATCTTTTCCAAACGCTCCGACGGCGCAGATTAGCAGCAAGAACGTTTTCATCATTGTGTTTATCGACTGGCGAATAAATTTAAACTGAAAGTGTTTGCAATGTTATTTGTTTAGTTAATTATTCCAGTTTAGGACTTTAATTTATGTGTACGTGTTGTTCCGGTTAACTAGTTCAAAGATATTGTTATTCCGTTTTCAATCTCGAAAAATAATGGGCACGAGTATGTGATCGGCATGTGTCTAAAAAGCGGGGTTAACTTCATTTTCATTTTACTCGCGTGAATGGCTTGATTTTTTATATGAGGAAGTAACGATTTACGTTAGATGTACAAATACTGAAACACATCAGAGAGCTAGGTACCACTAATTCTTTCAAACATCAGTTTGAGCAATGATCCACCATAGTTTTTGAGGATCTCTTACATGCAGCTAACAATGCACATAGCATTAATATTGTAAATCGCCATACATGCCTTTATTGATATCTACCGCTTATTAAAGAAGAATTAATTGCATTTGTGTTCGAGAAGAGAAGTAGGTACCTACATACCTTATTTCCGTTCCGTCTATATGCAGCCGTTTAATGGTATAGTAAAGAGATCATTTTAAGTAAAGAGGTCAAAGTTTCTAGCTTACTGGGTGAATCATTTTAGGTACAATCAAATTAGAAATTTTTCAATCCTGGTTAAGGGGTAACGAGCTTATTCTTTAATCAACCGCAATGTCGTCCGAATGAATGCACTTCCATTTCCGCGAGTATATAGATATCATACCTAATAGGGTAAAGGCCTTTTTCTAAAGTTATATACTGGGATAGAGTTTTCAGGAAACACATTCTAATTTAGTATATGTATAGGTACCTATCGGGAATCGGGATACCGGCTTGAATCCTTGCATTTTCCGTTTTAGGAATATCCAATTCCGCAAAATAATGACAAAGTTCACGAATGTACCGAAAAGATTTCGAGTAAATCTCTCAACGATTAATGTCGCGTCTTCGAATCAAAAACCCATTTTTATTATATTTTACCGTTTTCCGAAAATCTTGGAGAGAATAAACATTCGAGCAAATGAAGCAGGTACCTCAATGTTTTTACGTTTCTCCTTTGATTCAAATTACTTTAATCTTGCAAATATCAAGATATAGTTTTTTGCAAGTATCAAAGACTTTCAGAATCTAGGAGTTGAAGCACTCTCAAGGGGAACTCGTAGAAAATACGATTCAAATCAATCTGTTGATAGTGCTATTTTCTTACTTCCCTTTTACACTCTTCCTATCAATATGGATTAGTTTTAATTCCTTCTCTTAGTTTTCTTATATTTCATTTTCCTTTTTTCTACAAGTTGTAGGTATCCCTTAAATTTTTTTTTTCTATGCCTTGTTTGTTGTTGTTCTTAAATATATATTACACATTTTCCTTAGAAGTTTACCGCTCGAAATGGAAACCGGCGACAAGAAGGAACATTCAGAAACTTTTACTTTAGGGAACCTTGTGCAACATTTTCGAAAAAAGGAAAGAGAAACTTTATACTTCCCCAATATTCCTTTGGTGGAAAGTTATAGTTTAGCCTTTGGATATAAAATATTCAAAGGTTTAACGTTATTCCTTGAGATATTGAAATGTTTATCCATGATTAATTCCCAATGTTAGAGGTCCAACCAAGTTTAGGATAAACTTATCGGTTGGTTCCTTATAGTAAGGTAAGTATACATTTTTTTATATTATTGAATGTTACACAAAAATATTGATCAAAAGATATTTGTCTCACACATTAACATTTCGTGTAATCAAAGCAAAGAATAGGTTGTATTTGATTTCAGGTCCCTTGTATGAGCCATTTTCTAACTTCTTTTTTGAAGGTTCCAATTTGTTGAACGTTGAGGATATCTCTAGGTACCTACAGGTGTTGGTATGGTAAATTCTAATGTTCTTTTTCCATATTTGTTGTAGCAATAGGGCACTGCGTACATGGTCCTTCTGGTTCTATACGAATGCGGTAAGGGTATTTTGAATTCGTTGACATCAAAGTGCTTCAGTAAATTAAGGTACTTGTAAAATCCGGTTGATGTTAATGTATTTGTATATTGCAGCAAATCATGTGTTTGCAGGTGATTATTACCAGGAATCAGCTTAAGCAGTCGTAATTGGAGCGAGTTGAGTTTTTTTACGTAGGATAGGATACACCCATACGCATATTGCGTATCTGAGAAGTTCTGAGAGGTTTTTTTATTGGCAAATCTGCTCAATAAATAAAAGCTTCCTGATATTGAGTGTAGATATTGTATAATATGCTTATATACTTAATAATAATAACAATAATAATAAATCGTTTATTGGGTTTAACATGGAATAAATCATCAGGTACATGAGCATGATCATTCATTACAATTTCTTAGTCCTTCCAGTTTCCCCCAAGGGGTTAAGATTCAGATTGTTCAAAAATATTAACCGTCTGGTCTACCACTCAGCCCCAATACGCCATAGAGAGGTATACTTCAGTCGTGGAAATCTACCTACATCCCTTAAATTGTGAAAAGGAGAGAAAGTTATCAGTCAATGATTCCAATTGAGTAAGATGGTACAAATGTACATTAATTATAGGTGTTATACTTCACCAGAATAAAGCTTATTTTTAATTAAGGTTTTGAACTGTGCTAGCGACATAGATGAAAAGTTAACTTTTAGTTTGTTTAGATAAAAAACTATTAAATAAGAGAAGGACCTTTTATATAATTGAAAATTATGTTTATAGGGATTGTAATATAAGTAAATCCTTTCATCGTATATTAATATTATGAGTTCTGAACCGTATTTTGTTAACGAGAAATTGTGGGCATTTATTGACATTTTATAAAAAGTGCAGTAGCAATGCAGCTTCCTTCGATCTTCCATTTTTAACCAACCTGCCTTTCTAATGTAATGGGAAATTCCTTCCCTTCTTCTGACGCCAAATATAAACCTAAGACAGGAGTTTTGAACAATTTGAATTTCGTCTTTTTTCACAAGAATCCAAATTTGAACTGCAGACGACATCACAGTAGTTAAAATTCGATAAAATGGGAGTATCACAAAGCAACTTTTTTAAATGTTGGTTTAATATGTATGCCTATGAGAATACAACCATTTCAGCGTAAACTATGATTTTTGTATTAATTTTGAGATATGATGCAACTTAAATCGCAAAACTGAATCCATAATGAGCCCAAGATTGTTAGCACTATCCACAAGTGGGAGTATTGTACCGTTCATGGATACTCGAGTGAGATTTATTAACGGCAGTCTATTCCTCTTACTCCCAAATAGCATAACTTTACATTTATTAGAGTTTAACGTAAGATTATATTTATTAGAATTTGTTGACAATTGTTGGAGGTCCAGATTTAGATTGTTTACTGCACTTTGAAATTCACTTTTAGAGAATGAAATATAGATCTGAGTATCATCCGCAAAAATATGGACTTTGGTATGCTTTATGTCATTATATAAAGACGCGGTGTAAACCGAAAAAAGTAGGGGACCGAGTATGGAACCCTGAGGCACTCCCGTCTGTACTGTAACAGCATTTGATTGATTATTTCCCAGGCACACGATCTGTTTTCTATTACACGAAAAAATGCAACTGCTTCAGCGTAACCTAGGTAACCTAAAATGGACACAAGCAGAGAATGATTCACAGTGTCGAATGCCTTTGAATAGTCAAGAAGCGCTAATAATAAACAGTTACCTTGATCCACAGCGTTTAATATATCATCCACAATATCGAGAAGTGCTCCAGGGCAACCATATCCAGCACGAAATCCAGATTGCGTAGCGGGGAGGACATTAAGTTGATCAGTCAACTGCGCATCAGCAATAACTTTTTCCAGTAATTTTGAGGGCAGGTAATATACTTATAGGACGAATATTGGATATACCACTAGGTGATGCCACTTTCGCAATAGGTTTAAGAAGAGAACACTTCCATACAGAAGGTACGGAATGAGATTTAATGCAGTAGTTTATAATATGAGTTATATATGGAGTTAGAAAATTAATTAATTATTAATTAATACTACGTACTTACCTCAAATCAATAAGCGTGAGAGAAGTAGGCATAGCGCGCTTGATATGTAAATTTTAATAGCAGAATTTTTTTCTTTTAATTTCGACTTCAAATGAGGAAGCTCTAATTTCATCTCAAAAATAGCGACTTGCCACATTTGTCTTTTGTCATGCAACCTGCAGCGTTACAACGCTAAGATGTGACCATCATTTTAATGATACGATGCCTACTATTTTTAAACAATGACACGAATCTAGCTCAGGTATCCATTTCCGTTAACGTGTTCGAATCCCTCAGATTTTCAAGAAATATTTTGACACGAAACATGATCAAAGAAGCAAAGAGGGAGCGAAAGGAAGGATATCGGTTGCTATGGGTGATAGGGTGCGAAAAGAACGTCGGAGGAAAGACGTCGGCGACTTCCTGAAAACTTACCCTCCCCGATGCAACTCGCCTGCCGTAAATATGTTTTAGGCGACTATTTGATAACTTGAATTTGGTCCGATTTTCTTTCAAAATTCACCCCTCTTACCCCCCTTTGATTTATTTCTCTATATAACCGTTGAGTGACTCAATGATATAACTAAGAATAATTAATAGTCCCAATACTTATACAACAATTTATATGTCATATACTTAAACAGTTACAGACATCAATTAACGTTTTAATTGAAATTTTAACAAATCATATATTCAGTTTTAAAAAAAACAGTTAAATTCCTATTTGTAAATTTTCCGCATCCCTCGCATTGACCGGCAATGTATTGAAGCTATTGCGCTACAACGAGGTACGTAATGTCTAAAGTAATCATGCTGTAAGTATCGATATTGGCATCGTTTGTGCAGCGGTATCATAATTCGGTTTTTTAAATTCTTAATTCAGTAGTGAAAGTAAAAATTGGTCATTCCTCTATTTTTTTTGACAAACCAGTATTTCTCCTTGTTGATATCAGATCATATTGAAACAAGTATAAATTGTGCACAACTCTTGGGCAGGTAAAGTGCATTTTTTAAACCCAAATAGCTTAGTAAGTAGTTGGGTTATTAAGACTCTTCTGTTGTCAAGATATTCGCTTCGACTTCACCAATAGATGTTTCGTCCAGACGATTCATTCTGCCACTCCTCCAACAAACTGTATTCGCTCTTATCGTGTTGATCTCACTCACCAATGGATATATTTGTTCCAGACGTCCCAATCGCCCTTTGTGAGTACCTCCTCCGGAAATTCGCTATAGAGTTAGGAATTATAACCGGTCACGATGAGGGGTCGAAGAGGTAGAAATGGATTCCTTTCGTTAAGACCTTTCATTAGAGTATGGAAAAACGACTCCCTCTCTTCCCCGAACTGCCTATTTTGATAAGGGTAAAAATGAGAGGGGGGCCTTAAAACAACAAAAAGTGATGGCCGTCTGGCGCACCTCCAAGGTATATAGGCGATTTATTGCAAAAAATTCCAGGACTATATATTACCATTCCCCTAAAAGTAGGTCAAAACCTCAGAAGTGGGCCAGGACGGACAGGCAAAAGGCAAATAATTACACATTTTTTTATTTCTTAAAAAAAATGCGCTAAAAATAAGTACGTGCATAGTATAGAACATTCCGTTGCCACATAGTAATGGAAACAAAAAAATTCGTAAAGTTGATGTGAAGATTGGGGGCTCTATTAAAAGGTATAGGTACTCAAACGGAAAAAATAAATAGTCCGAAATTTGTTAAAAGTGCGAGAATTGTTTATATCTGCCACTAATTACCGGCAAAACCGACGAATTTTGCTAGTTTTTTTGATATGGATATTCATTTTAGTGGTGTCTGGCTAACTTGACACAAACTTTACTTTTGAATTGATGCTGATTGAGACCTCTGAAGTGTTTTGTAAGGATAATACATAGGAGTTGCGTTTGTCCTGCCCTATCACATTTTTTTAATGTTTTTATGCACATAGAAATATAAGCAGTTTCGTGGTACAAAATGTTAAAAAAATCAAAAAGGCGTCACATTTTTACACCACAATTAAATTGCGACAAGAAGCCATCAAATTATTGGTATAATCGTCTCAATATGCATGTAAAACACATGTGGTCGTATTCCGCCTAGGAGACAGGAGTTCAGCAAAAAAAATGGGGCTACTATTTGATACCTTCCTAAACAAATTTCTTGAGGAATCTAGGAGTATATAGATAGAATAAAAAATATATAAATAATAATATAATAAATAAAAAAAATTTCTATACAAAAAATAAATAAACATTAGCTAATTATTATATATAGTAGTTTATCTAATCCATGTCATTAGTAACGAAGTAACAATGGGCCAGGATAATGCCAGGTAGTTTCTTTTGTTTTCCCTTGTAAGTAATGACTGACATATCGCCTTAAGGGTGCAATTTGAGTTGCCTACTTTTATGTTAACGTTGCGCTCTTTTCTAAAAATCGCGGAACTTATTTTTTAAAATATATGCCCTATACCATAATAGATGGAAATAATATCTTTAAGTACTGACGTAAAAAAGAGTGTCGCATTTCCAAATTGGTGCTGTACGTTTTTCTACTCTCATTACAACGGCTGTTGTTTATAAAAAACGATTTTTCTATTCACTGATCTTACTAAAAAACTAAGACTAATATTTCAACTTTTTTTTAGTATCGACGTTCTTTTCATCATTGCAAAGAAAGACACTATCGAGAATTCAAAGCAGTATTTCACAAGAACGTTTGACTGTTTTTTCAAATATGGCGGATTTACTACAATTTACTTCTTCTATGGTATTTTTTGCAACACATAGATTAATGAGTTTTCCGAATTTCAATTTGAAAAACATCTATTCATTTTATTAAAAAAAAACTAAAACTGAACTATACTTTATATTTTAGCTTTATTTAGCAGTCAGAAATAACTAGAAGTTCAAAAATTGTAAAAAGGTACAGACTAAGTCAAAACAGCAATTTGTAAAAAACAATATTCAAAGCAGTAATTCCTGTAAATATTCTTCCATTTCCTCATCCCTTGATTTGCTTTCCTCCACTTTAATATTCTCCCAGGGAGATTCCTCCTTTGGTTCAGAACTCGTACACAACGTTGAATTGGAAGGTGTACTTTCTGGAGCTTTGGGTTCCTCATTTTTCTCTTTCCCATCTTCGTCTCTCTTCCTTAAACCTAATGTAGACAATCGCCTTGGTCCTTTTTGTTTCATTTTCTTTACTTCTCGTTTTTTCGAGACATAGTTCAACTTTTGAGAACACTCTGGACACAAACCTAGAAAATTTGTTTGATTTAGTTTATTTGTAACATTAAAAGTTAATTACTCTTACGTATTTTAACCAAAGCATTCTTCTTCTCGCCGTCTTCCTTGTAGGCAAAATTCACTTCCCACGTACGTAATGCTTCATTGGATGTACATATTTTATTACCACAAGTAAATTGCCCTTTTCCTATGACAACTTCCTGCTCTACTCTCCAACGGAGTGCTATCTCTCAAACAAAATGGTACGCTTCATTTACTTCTCTTATACTAGCAGACGCTTACCTTGTTTTCTTTGTAACGACTTAAATCGCCGATGCAATACTCTTTAAATAATTTATCGTAATACTTTTTGGCAAATTGTTCTTCCCAGGTGTCCGGTGTTGTTGTGTCATCCCATAGAAATTTATGGTTTTCGCGTATGACATCTAAGTCTGTACGATCTCGAGCTGTATCTCTTCTCAACAATTTGGTGTCGCCTGGCCTTTTCAAAATGTACTCATTCACTAGAGTTTTATGTAAATCGTAAGGGTTCATGTATCTCAACTGACTTCGAAAACTCATTTTTAACAATAATTCTTTTCAGCCAAGAATATTTGTTGAAAAAGAATAACCTAACCCTACTTCGTTGAGCCAAGCATCCAGTGGTTCTAAACCGTTATTTAAAACTAGTATAGATTCTAAAACAGTAAAGTCTGGATGTATCTTGTACATTGGTAACACTGCATGTAAATAAGCATAATACAATGCCGGTACCATTGTCGAATCGTATCATTGTTTATTCAATGATTCTATATGTACAACAAATATTAACATTATATAGCGATTTATTACTGTATAATGTTGATAGCTACTAAAATAAAAGTCAGGAAAGGCGAAGATCGAGTAGCTAAGCTTCGTAAATCGTAACTTTGAAAGAACTAAATCAATGCATTTTTTATTATGACAGTACCTTTTGAAATAGCTCTAAGTGGTAGTGGCTTGACAATTCATTGATAACTATTATCATTTTATGCAGAAATCATACTTTGAGCTTGAGAATTAAAAAAATAAGTTTGAAATATTCTGACATTTTTTTTGGAAAGTGTCTTTAACCTTTCCCAGAGCTTCAACCGCTACCAGCTTATACAGATAAAAAGCCTATAACCTTTTTACTTACATTATCTACAATGGTGAAGAAAGCTATTCATTCATAGGGCGAGAAATAATTCCAGGTAATCCATTTGGATTTAGATCTGGATTGGATGACAGTCTAGAGTTATAGGAACCCCTGCTCGCTGATTAATTATTTTTGTGCTTTCAACACTATTAATCGTATTTATTCATTATAGTCCAAGATCCCAAACCTAAAGGCCGCTTGACATGGAGCAATACTACGCGCAAGAACTTGCAGAAAGAAATTGCAAGGTCAAATCCTTGCATGCAATAAGCATTGCATGGTATTTGACATGGTGCAATTCTATTTCAATTGCCACATGTCTGCCAACAGAAGAAACATATGGATTTGTCAACAAAGTTGTTAACCTCAAATGAAAATTAAATTTTGATTGCTTGAAGAAACATGAAAATTACAAGAATAAATAAGATTAGTAAAAACAAGTAATGAGTGCGTCTCTCAGCATCACAGTTGCCGCCGCTGTATTTTACTAGGTTGGTGCCACAAAAACAACTAGATTTATCCCTAGAATTGCACGATTCATGCAAGAAAAATAGCACCGGTCCTATAAAAATTGCATGCAAGTCTCTTGCAGCAATTGATCAGCTGGCTTTGAACTGCGCATGCCTTTCGCAATTTTTCTTGCAACTTGCATGCAATTGCAATTTTTATTGCTCCATGTCAAGCGGGCTTTACTTACTTTCTGATGGACAAAATATGCTTAAAACTCTTGGCATTTTGTGAATATTGTTTGTAGTATATTGTCATTTTAATATTACCTTGGAATTGCCTATATAGAAATTGTAATTTAAAACATCAACCATTCTTTAGTGAATAGTATGATTAGATAGTTTGGATGGCGAGCTATCAGGTCAACATAGGAAACCCTCTCGACTTCAATAAGTTATGCAAGCATTACTTAAACACTGTATGTACATAAGTCACATGCAATAAAATTCCATAGATTTTATAAAAAAATGATGTTAACATTTCGTAGACAAAAAAATCACTATTAAAATGTAACAAAATAATAAATAAGACTTTACATATTAATAAAGAAATTATTACATCAGATAATACTACTGTGGTCCCATCATACCCATAGGCAAGTTAACAGGATATCCTGTTTGTCCTTGTCCTATTTGCATTGCAGGCGATTGAATTTGTTGAACTGATGACGATACAGGACTGGGCTGTTGAGGTTCAGACGGCAATGTCAAGTTCATTAATAGCTCTCGAACAGCAGGAAACAACGAACACTCTGAATGTGTCGTTTGAAATTGTGCAAAGTGTTTAAGCAGTTGACTAGCGGCGGACATTGCAGTAGCGGGTCCGGCGTCCCGCTTTTCGGCCAACTGAGTTAAATTCGTACTTATGTCATACACTAACGGAAGCACTAGTGATGGAGGATCCATGTTGTTTGGATATTGTAAACTTATACGAGTGATTTGCAGCTGAAAGATAATTGCACTTTAGAGGATCGACACAAACTTAGAAAACTTACAAAAAATAAGATTTTATTTCGATAGACTAAACAAGCTGCCATGCCTATTGGTACAATTGGAATAGCCGAAGGTGGTATCCGAAGCATCCATTGCACTGACCACTTACAACCCTGTTGTTGGGCTAGCTGTGGCATGAGATCCAACCTCATAATTTGTATGAAATCCTTGAGGACATTGATAGACACGTTTAACATGCAAAAGAATCCAAACATCCCGTTTGGTTTATATGGAGGAGCCGACGCTCTAGTGTCAAAAAATTTCTCCATAATCTGCATAAAATATGTCACAACCAATTTTACCATCGAGAATCACTTACTTGTAGCTCTTCCGGACTCCATATATCTTTATGGTCCAGCAAAGGTGTTATCTTTAGGTGCAATGATTGTAAGTGTTGGGGGTTTAAGCCAATTCGACACTGAAAGTTGTCGGAAATCTTAAAATGAATGACGCCCGGTTCGTTATTAGGAATTCCTGTCAGCTAAAAATGCAAAATATAAAAAACAGATAGAGACAACAACCCATTTACATAAGTTTCGCTTTGTATAAACCGCTGCAACTGTCGTCGCATATAAACACATCCTAAAAATCTTTCAAGCGGCGCGAGCTCCTGGCCCAAAAGGCCTTGGGGATGGGGTGAGGGACAGCATAACGTCTCCAACGCTTCATGCGTTAATAAAGTTGGGACTGCACCAGCCCATGATTTTTGTGGCAAAACTCTTGATAAATGAACACCTAAAATAGAGGCTTCTAGTACATTAAACAATAGCAAACCTACAATCACAAATAATAACAATGGTTGCAGAAACACAGAATGAGACCAATCTTTTTTTTTGAAAAGTATACCCAAACTTTAAGAACACTACCTTAAAACCACAGATTATACACTCTAGATATATCATGGCTGGTTAAAATAGACCGATAAGTACACACACCGTAGTGTTTCATCATGCAGAGAAATCTGTTTCATTTATTTTTAACAAGGAAGCAAATTGATTTCCTAATTGACATGGTTTACTATCTTATGTACCTATCTTGTAGCCGATTTATCATATCTGCGATTCTAATGTAGCCGAGTAGCCTTTACCTATTTATTTGGAACCAGAGGTTTTTCATTTTTATTTTATACTGTACCTACATATCAGGTATCGTTCACAAATGTGTGCTATGACCTACAGTGCTACATTTTTTCATAAAAGACAAATAAACTGTATAAAATATGTGACATATTTTTCTTTTACCGAAAAACGTAGTACCGTAGGCCGTAGCATACATTTGTGAATACCAGCTATTGTACAGTAAGTTTTTAGCGCAACCTAAGAAAGTTTTTAGCGCTTATATCCTTACTTTTCAGTGCGTCTGTCCGTCACTCTGTGCTATACTCAGTCTCTAGGCCTTGTGTTCACTATATTATGGGTTCCAGATATGCAATTAGCAAAAATTAACTTTGGCCTCCATTGTGTTTTGCCCAAAATCGGTCAAATGTGGACCAATTTTGTTACAAAAAAGCTATTGCATGATGCCCAAAAAACGATCCATATGCATTTTTGGTAATCAAAATATATTAATCCAAAAGATGTCAAAATCGTTAATGATTTCATCAATTTTCGTGACAAAAATATGAAACTCGATTGCTTGATGACCAAGAAACAATACACGTTTATTTTTGGTGACCAAAATATTTCATATAGTAAAAACCCGAAGTCGAAACAAAGTCTAGGAACTGAGCTATAGCGTGGGACGGCGGACAGAGACATACAAGCGGAAAATTGAGGACATAAGCGCTCCACTTTCGTGGGTTGCACTAAAAAAACTGCAAACTAAAAAAATGGCAGCCAATGGGGCGGCTGGAACCTCACCAATCGCACTGATCAATGTACTACACGGCTATTAAGTACTTTGTCCACAACCGTATGTAATCACACAATCAACTCACTGGGCTTCTAAATATTCCTGAAGTTTCAGACTATTTGGCAATAAACAACAATGAATGAGTATCAATGGATGTACTGCCACAGTCACAGCCTGATTTGTGACTTTGCTGGTCACTGCCGCAAGAGAAACCACTGCATCCTTATGTTTTAAGTGTAGGCTCATTTTGCCGATTTTTGCAAACTACTTCTTAGCCAAAAAAAACAAAAAATGAAGTTTAGACAAAAAAAAACGAAATTTATTTTAAAAAGAACATTCTATCCCAATAATCTTAATAAAACGATGTGTTGCATCCGCTAAAATATAAATTTTCCAATGTACAATGCATACAGACTTATACATCGTGTACATCGTTTTATAATCTTAACAATTTGCAAGAAAGTGACCTTGAACTCAATCATTGAATAAGCACCTTAAAGAAGTATAACGCCCGTGTTAACTGATGAAATAGGAAAATCTGCCCAGGATTCTGTCGTTCCTCTGTTGTGGGGGAAAGTGAACCACAAATTTAAAGCTAGTTACCGACTTTGCAGATTTCTTTACTTCTTTAAAATTCCAACGTTGCCAGATTTTTGGCAGGCGCTTTGAGTTTGAATAAACTAGATTAAAATATTGAATAAGCTTTTATTCAATGCCAATAACAATAATATGTAAGGGAGGATCAATCTGAAAACTGAAATGTAAGTTCATAAGGAACAATAAATAAAGTAAAACATGTAGTTTAATCTAATAAGAAAACAAAAGAAACTGTTCTAAGGACCATTATCTTTACATAATAAACAATCAAACTTTACCTAGCTCCATATAAGGATCTGGTAATTTTAGGCACATTAATGATCTCAGTAATTAATTTCAGATTTAATGTTAGAATCCGCACTTTCATTATAAGTAATTACTAATTAGGTAGGGTGGTACTATTGAATAAGCACCTTATATTCAATGTATATATAACATTTTTTGACAAAAAAATTAGTTACCGGTTCAAACTAGGTTTTTCATGGAAGTGAAATGATTAGAAATTAGGGAAAAATAATTAAAACAGTGAACTTTTCCGCAGATGAAATCCCGGGGGTTGAAAGTGGTGTTTTGCAATTTGTGGCAAAACTACTAATTGTTAGTAATCAATTGTCAAATTGTGAAGATTTAAATTTACATTAAAGCTATAAAATTAAAAGTTTCCGAGATCTCATGATTTCTGAAAAAAACCACCTCTTTTTCAAGGGGATGAAAAATATATTTTTTCCATCGTACAGAGGAGCGCGGGGTAGCAAAATTTTTGGGAAGACTTATATTTTAATAAACGAATATAAAAAATATTATTCCTATAGAAAAACTGGAAAAACAGTTTTAAGATATACAGGATTTTTGAAATGATAAATCAACGTGTTGGATGTTGATAAAAGATTTTTTCGAAATTTGTCTTCTTGCTTCTCTTTAATGTTCCTAAAATATTTTCTTTTGCTCCTAGCAGGATCTTTTCTTAAGTCAAACGTGACGTATAAAAGGAAGATCCCTAACATCAATAATAAATAATTCAATTTCAATGTTATGTATTATGCAAAAACTACATAGATAATCAAAAAAATTGATGCAAATTTCTAATTACATTCGCTTCAATAAAACGGACTAGGTACCGAAATACTCGGTGCAAAAACATAAAATAAAATAAAGCTACTTTTTGATATAACAAAAAAAATATGACAACACTGTTCAACTCTGATAAACAAGGAAAACAAAGGGCCCCTAAGTATAACTGGTTTCCCTGTTTAAAATAGTCATTATTTACCGCCCGAGGCCAAATATCCTTCAATATTTGTGGTAATTAACCACTTTGCAGTGTATGCAACACACGTTACACCGATGTCAGGTTTTCCTATGTAGTTATACTTCTTTAAAGTAGTTAGAGCGCGTTCGGCTGAAGTCAAGTGATGTACTCGGCCTACCTATTACTTACGGTAAACGTCCCCAAAAAAATGTTGTTATGAAGGAAACATAATTAGAAATACGGTATGAGTGTTATTTTGTACCTCAGCACAATGCAAACGTCTTACATGAATTTTAAAAAGGTATATACAGTAGTCAACTTGACTAGTCTACCTACTTTTCGACCCTGTTTCAAACCTTTGCACACTAAATTTAATGTTGACGACACACCGCGACTAAAATATTCACAGTGTAAGCGGTAAATCCTAAACGAATATATTTATTTTTAATCAAAACATATGCGAGACGTATGTAAAAGCCGGGAAACTAAACAATTTGGCGTTTTACGTGAAGTCGGTGTAGTGGATTTGGTTTTTCGATGTTGGCGCCAGAGATCCCCAGTCGCTATCTTGATCCCGATCGGATCAGTGTGTCAACAAGACGTGTGCAGGCCTTTATAAATATCGCTGGTTTTGGTGTTCTTTCTAAAAGACACCATGCCTTTTGTGAAGAAAAGTGCTCAGCAGATGAAGGAAAAGATTGTCCTAGCTCAGCTATATACTAGACCTAGTGGAAAAGTCATCAGATTTAAACGCGTGCTGCATAGTGTGCCGCCGCGTCTGAGCAGACGCCGCTCCGGCGGTAAATATCTTCCTTATTTCATCATGAACATGTACTTTTCCGTGCATATTTAGATTCGTCACAAAATTTCGCTTCTAATGAGACCCATCTCATTTAAGTCTTGATACAAAAACCTTCGCTAGCTCAGAAAAACTGAGTCTGTCCATAAGAGCTCATGTTAAAATACCCTGTTTTTACTGTCAAATATCTCAGAAACGGCACATAGGAACACTTTTTTCTTTTGACCATTAGAAAGTTCGTCTCTCAGAGAATAAGTGACCAAATTTTCACCAACTTCTTGTTACTTTTACCTAGGCGCTCTAACTACTTTAAGGTGCTTATTCAATGACTCAATTCAATTAATTACGATTTTTGTTATCAGCTTGTGCTATTGGTCGGGGGTATTTGTTTGTTTTATATGGGGAGGGGGGGGTAATATACTTTTTGAATTGTTCACAATATTTTATGTCATGTTTATGTTGATGTCATAAGCTATTTGTAGTGTTTAAATCTGTGATAAAACCAAGATACACAAAATATCGCTTTCTTATAGAAACTCATGATTAGAAAATGTTGACCAGCGCCTAGGTTATGAAAGAAGAAAAGGCTAGATATAACCCGTTTTATCGCTAGAAGGCGTTTTTCAAATTAAATAGGTTCCTTGATGAAAATGTTTTTAAAAATCATTGATCTATAAAACAACTTTGTTAAAAAAAACATTATCTGGAAGTTATATGTCGTCAAAGAAACTGATTTAATTCAACAAGTGCCCCCTAGTAGCCAACCAATTTGAGATAGGCAAATTGTACTTTGATCCACTAATCTACAGAATTGATCTCAAATAAGTAGGTTTTGTTTAGACAATCTATGGCTCAAATTTAATAGCAACATGTTACCATATTATCATACCTATTTTATGATCAGACTGTGGACTATGCATAATAGGATGACCTCCAGGTGATTGTCCAGGTCTGGCTGGTGAAGGTCGAGGCATACTTGGTGACCCTGGCCAATTTGAAGCTGCCGGTGATGTCATACTTTGAGATGAGGGAAAAGGACTGCCGTCAATGTGGCCTGCAATTAGCGTTTCAAATTGTTAAGAGTGAAAGTGCAAATGTTTACCGGTTTGCATAAAACTGCTCCCTGGAGAATGCCCTGGAAGATTTGCATTAGCAGGCCCCGGCGACGAGTTTGATAATAATCCGCCGGGACTAGGGACGTGAGGGTTCAATGGTGAGTTTGCCACTAGACCGGAACTTGGGCTGGGGTGTGGAAGGACTGGTATTGGACTAGGGTTTATATTTCCAGGAAGAGACGTGGGAGATGCAAGACTGAAAGAGGTTGCCGGACTTGATCCAAAACTAGTGTGAGTGGTAGGCTGATTCATATTGGTAGTGTGTGGGCTAGCAGGTGTGTGAGGATTAGAACCTGAAGGTGGTGTTAATGGAGGATGGAAACGAAGCCCGGCCTCTCGTGCCTGTACTGGTGATTGTGGTCCTTTATGATGCATCAGAAAATTAGTTCCGTCGACCTCCATTGAGATTGGCGAAGGCGGATTATCGTCCTCGGACTGCGACCGTCGACGAAATACCGCACTCTCATCAACGTACTTCGATAAAAACGTTTTTAACCCTTGAGTTGGAGTAAACGCCTCCACAACATTACTCCGATCAAAATGGCTATAAGCACCATCACGCAAAGATACTAAACCGCCTCCCCGTAAACGCAACTCTATACAATACATTCCCTGGTAAGCCAAGCGTATACCTGTACAGCTCTGAGCCATAACTGTAAAAGTTTGAACGGGCACCTGCGGTCTCTACAATTAAAACATTTTCCTTGAGAATTAAAAAAATGAATTTCCTTACAGCATTATGCACTCCTAATTGTGGTAAAGATGGCAGTTTACTAATAGATATTAAAGGTTCATATGTTTCGTGTAACAATTGCACTATCTGGGAAAGGTTCCCATGTTGGTTTAAATGAGCTTCTAGTTGTTCTCGTACTAAACAATGAGCATTTAAAGCGTTATTACTTGCCCCAAACGCCAATTGAAACGCCTTTTCGGTATTGTTCCAGTTAATAGAAACCATTGCACCCTTATCGGGCCCATAGCAAAGAACTAACTTGCTATAACTATACGATTTAACGCTAAAAACACTTGCCAAATTATACTTTTCTAAAATGAAAGATAAATTAATTGCTTGCTTTACGAACTCACAACCTACCGATACTTAAATATTCGCTCAATTCGTACACAATCGTGTACAGATGTACAATCTGAGCCCAGTCACTAAGTAAAGAATCCACGGTTCGTGAAATTGTATCGGCAATGCCCACATCATATTGGAAATAAACAGGACGTCTAGAACCCTGCTCTTTAGGATGGGTGCTAAGTAATGGACTGGAGTAAAACACAAATTCTGTCATCCAACTTTTTAACATCCCTTTGCTTTGCACTCTGATGGATGCTGATAAAAGACGTTTTAGTAGAGACTGCCATGCTGGAGACTGTCCTATTGCTGGAGTGGGAGGAGGTAACTGAATCAGCCGCAACACCAATCCAGTTGCATTCGCTTCTGCTTGTAAGCCTTGATGAAAAATATTGCGTTTCGTAAGCTACAATTTTGTGTCAGTGATGATACGGTAAAACGTACAAGACAAACCTCATTCGCTAATGTAACAAAGGGGAGGCGTTCATCACACATAGCCACCACATGTGCAAGTTCTGATATGAAATATGCCGGTTGTTTTGTTCTTCTAGGATGCGATTCGTTTTTGGAAGTTGCCCTTCTTTTCAAATTTCCAGGTTCGACGTGATCAGAGTCTACATCAGAATGATTAAAGAGGAGTGGTTTTAGAAATAGGTTTACCATCAACAGTTGTGTATGGTCCGTGGGTAACGACAAACGTGTCTAACTCGATTAGAGACTGAACCTTTAAGTACACCTTGGGGATTTCCGTTTCAATATTGTCATCATCAGGGTGGTCTTCGATGCTGGAGTGTTTTACTACGGCTAAGTGAAATGCAAAATCCACTTCGCATGGACTGTTTTCTTTTTCTTTCAGTTCAACAATCTGTACACGAAAGAAAGAAACATTATGATCACAACTTACCAACAAAACCATTCGGTACACATACATAATTATCATTAACGGATGCATATGTCACTGCAAGTTACACTATGAATAATTTATTACTTAGTAGTATATTATATATATGTAAAATACAAAAATTTGAAATAATAAACTATTGTCACTAGTTTAATACTGTGTCGTACAATAGCGTATTTGATTTATATTCGGCACTACGGACGACGATGTGTAAATCCTGACTATTCACATACAAACTGTTTCTATCGTACACTCTGTTTATTACTGTTAACTAATTCGTGAAGATCAAAGCAACATTCCGCAAATGACACATTTTACGGTTTAAATAACAGTGCAGCAGGAAAAGGCTATTTAAGGAATCCACGAAGGTAGACACAATTCAACACCTGCAGATCTTGAATGTTTCGATCCAAACCCACATGTATCCTTTTGAAGTCTCAGAATTATGATTTGATTTATATCGACTACAATGTCTTATTGCCTCCATTAGTTCCTCTAAGCAATCGATGAATCATATAAGCTGTAACGGTTTAAATTCGCTTGCACCGTTCAATCCTGCTACGCCTATGTTTCTCGGGGCAATTTTCTTGGGAGCGCCACTGTTTTATGTGACATTGAGCGTTTTGGGTTGCTTTGCGCATGAGTATTATCTCCCCGATAAATTTAACGGTCGGCGATACCTTCCTTCTTGTTCGAATGCCTTGAATAGCAACAGGTTGTAAATTTTCGTCGTTAAAATTCTTCATGGATTTAAGTTAATTAAGTATCGCTGATGGCGGATTTCTGAGTCCATGGAATACGAATGAGTTGGGATTTGGTGGAGACCATTTAGCCCATTAACCTTTATGGGATATGTTAATTTTTTTGACATTGACACCTGTTGTACACTTCAATCAATTTCGATAGCTAATGATCAAGGCCATCTTGTTATTGTAAACTACAAAAGAAACCCTCTTTTTCATTGTGGGTTCTTTTTTTGGTGTGAGTTTCATTCTGCCTTCTTGTTGCCATGTTCCCACTTCGCAGTTACATTACTATTTGAATCGCCATCTCCACAAGCCAGCTATAGACGGCGCACTCGCTCCCTGTTAAGTGGACGAAAGACAAACCACCATTACCCACTGACAGGTGGACAATCGATACGATCAAGCCTGAATAGGGAACCGTAACAACGTAGTTGCCACAAAAACAGGAGCACGGTGAACGCGTTAAGATAATCTATTTAGTAATTTATTTGGTGTGTACGCCATTGCATAGGCACATAAGATTTGAAATAGTTAAGCGAGGTTTGTCCTCTGCCCGCACATTTAGACACTTTCAGTAGAGTATGTACGATTTTTAAGGGAGGTTTAATCGCGGATCATTCATACGTCCCTAAGGCCGTGGACGTGTACAATTTGTAAGCGCTCTGAATATACTCAATTCGCCCGATACATGCCCCGGTACTACCACATTAAACTGTATTTGCTATCATATAAGGTACCTCCATATATGCAACTCCGTGTAATCTTGGCATCCTGGCCACTACCTATTAACGTAAGGGGAAATTAAGAGGGTGGGGAACTAGTTTGTGTCTTTTTTTTGTTATTTGGGATTAAATTGGGGAAGAGTTTAAATTTCAGGGGCATCGTCTCGATTGCTACCCTATACTGCATGTGATATTTCAGGGATTCTTTACTCACTAGTCATAGATTTATACAGATTCGTATTTGCTTGTTTTGTGTCGTGTGTGGTATTATTCTTAGTATTATTTATCTAATGTGTATTGGTTTGCGGGTGGCTATAGAGCCAGCTATATTTATATAGATTTTAATTATACCTATACCAAAGGGTATTTGCCTCCAGTGTTTAGTAATTTTATTCCATCCTACGGGGTACTGTGCTACCCTACGGTGGCTCACCCTTCCTTGTTCAGGTTGAGCCTACAATTCTATCGTTTAGAGAACAAGGTGGCGCCCTTTCACCTGGTAAGTCAAATCGTTACGGAACGCCCTACCCTGAGCATTAATATTATGTGTGGTTTATCCAGCCGCTAGTCGAGGCATCCCCTTTATTTAACGTGGGTTTTGTATAAAATCAGCGCCACACAAACTTATCGTTATAAAGCCTTATAATTAAAATACACACTTTGATCACCACTCATTTTCAAAATCCTCGCACAACAACACACTTGATGTATTAAGTCCCATTTGCAGAATTTTGCTTCCTGTATTATTTAACGATATCGTTGTATTGTAAAACTTCCTCCTGCAGCCGATCGGCATATTCTTGTGATTTTTTTTAATTTTTCCTTTACGCCCAAACAATAATCTCCACCTTGTTAGTAAATGATCGCGACATAGACAACCTGTTACAAATAACTACCAAAACATTTTTTTAGTATGTAATTGGTCAGTAGAAGTCGTTGATGTAATATCCTACCCACAATGCATTCTCTTCCATTGCATCATGATCATGCTATGTAAACTAACTTAGTGATGACGTCATAATACACCTATGACGTGTGCGCAAACTAAGAAAATCCTACGCATACGAATCATTCAAAAAATTGCTTCATAAATATCAGAGATAATCGACCATTCCGGATCCATTTACTTACCCTGAATATGATTAGTAGCACTAGTAGTCCAGGCTAAATAGCTCTAAAATGATTTATTTTCAAAAAAATTAATTACCGGGCGAAACCGGGTTTTTCAGGCAGGTGAAATGAATAGAAATTGGGAAAAAATAATTAAAACAGCTGAATTTTTCCGCGGGTGAAATCACGGGGGTTGAAAGGGGTGGAAAGTGGTATTTTGCAAATTGTGGCAAAACTATTGATTTTAGACGAAAATGTTAAATGTAAAAACTGTTTTTTTCGTTTTTTATTTTTATTCTTGCGAAATAATGTCGTAGGGGTTTGAAATTTGGAGGTAACATAGCCTGTTTTATGATAGAACAGAAGATAATTGTTTGGGCCCATAAAGGTGAACCGTTTCCAAGATCTCACGATTTCTGTAAAAAATCACCTCTTTTTCAAGGGGATGAAAAATCTATTTTTTTCCATCGTACACAGGTGCGCGGAGTAGCAAAATTTTCGTAACGACTTACATTTTAATAATCAAAAATAAAAAATATTATTCCAATAGAAAAATTTCAAGAAAAGCGGCAAAAACGGGGGGAACAGTTTTAAGATACACCGTTTTTGACAGTAGGTAAATAGGCTTTTTTGCAAATTAATTAACGTGTTGGATCCGCGCTAATAAAAAGTTTTGAAAATCTGTCTTCTCTCTCCTCTTTAATGTTGCTAAAATATTTTCTTTTGTTTCCCAGTTGGGCACTGCCTTCATTAAAACATCTTTATTATTTCTTTTTTCTGGCATTTTTACTGCAATAAAAGCAATTCGAAGTTAAATCGAATTCTTTTGCTTCCTGAACAATATGTTTCACTAACTCTTCTTCCTGCCTGTTTTACAGCTGATGGGATTAAGCTGGGCCTGTTGATCGTTAATTTACAGGAATTATGAATATAATCCTCATAAAGTTTATTCCTGCAGGTTTGACTTCTCAAATCATCTGCTTTGGCCGGTAAAACCAACGTTCTTATTGCAGATTTTGCAAGTTTATCAACAGGCCCAACGCAATTGCATCAGCTATAAAACAAGCAGGAAAAAGAATCAGTGAACAAAGATAAATTGTTCAAGAATCAGGAAGCAAGATACATAATTCGATTTTATTTCGAATTGCTTTTATTGCGGTAAAAAGGCAGAAAAAAGAAATAATAAAGATGTTTTAACTAAAACAGTTGAGCATAAGATAACAAAAGAGAATATTTAGGCACACATTAAAGAAGCAAGAAGACAGATTTCGCAAAAATCTTTATTAACATCCAACATGTTGATTTATCATGTCAAAAACCATGTATATCTTAAAACTGTTTTTCCGGTTTTTGGCGATTTTCTCGAATCTTTACTATAGGAATAATATTTTTTTTATTTTTGTTTATTAAAATATAAGTCTTCACGAAAATTTTGCTACCCCGCGCACCTCTGTACGATGAAAAAAAATAGATTTTTCATCCCCTTGAAAAAGAGGTGGTTTTTTCAGAAATCGTGAGATCTTGGAAATGGTTCAACTTTATGGGCCCAAACAATTATCTTCTGTTTTATCATAAAACAGGCTATGTTACCTCCAAATTTCAAACCCCTACGACATTTTTTTCGCAAAAATAAGAATAAAAAACGAAAAAAACAGTTTTTCCGGTTTTTCTAGGAAAATTGGAGGTTATGTGAAAATAGTGCAGATATAAAGGTGCTCATTTTCTTAACCTCTATAACTTTTACATTTAACATTTTCGTCTAAAATCAATAGTTTTACCACAATTTGCAAAATACCACTTTCCACCCCTTCCAACTCCCGTGATTTCACCCGCGGAAAAATTCAGCAGTTTTAATTATTTTTTCCCAATTTCTATTCATTTCACCTGCCTGAAAAACCCGGTTTCGCCCGGTAACTAATTTTTTTCATTCAAAAATATTATATAGCCTGGACTATAATAGTAGTATATTAGTAACAAGTTGCTGTACTTTTAAATTAATTGTTGATGAACATACTTACAAGTACGACATTGGGATGTCGATGAAGCTGAGCATACATTCTATGTCGACCGATTTTTGTTAGTGGATGATCCGGGTGATGCAGAAGAGGAAGTCGTTCAGATGCAGTGGCAGGTAAGTGCTGTAAAGTTTTCTCGCACCGCCGCTGCGTGATCCAAAACCTAAACCACAATAAAAAATGAATGCAAATTGCAAGCATCTTACCTTAATTCAGTAATAAGTGTAGGCAAGCGAGCGTGGTCTCCGTTAAGGGAATTCTGTAATTCAGGTATAAGTGGGGGATCATATTGAGGAACGTGGCATTGGAGCATTCCAGTGTGAGTATCAACAGTTATCAAAAGTTGTTCTGCACGTAAGCATGGCTGCAAAATCGCAACTGATAGGATTGCAGGTGAACCTTGTAGATTACTGTCGACATCCTTTAGAATTCCTTGCAACTCCTGTTTAATATCGTTAAGTCGACTGCGAGTTCTTACATAAATTGTATGTACTAATAACCGTTCCATTGACAGCAGCTCAGAACGAATCGCTCTATCTGTGATTTCTGTTTCCTGAAAAATTCACTAAGAATTACGATATACTTAAGTAGAAATTTCTTACTTTATTGCCTAAAGAAGGGATGTGAACCACAGCTAAAGGTCTGGCAGGATCATGAATATCTACTTGTACAGTTAACCGATAGCCTAACTCTGACCGAGGATCTTTATTAGTCATCTCCTTTGATTTGCTTGTTAATTCTCTGAATTAATTCGTGTAAGTTTTTGATAATGAGCCTTACACACAAACACTTACCTCCAATATGAAACTGTTAAACATTTACCCGGAATGTACTCATCGACATGGATATGATCGTCTAATCTATCTCTCATTAACCTTAGTGTTTGTGAATACAAAACTTCCAACTGCAAAGACTGACAAAAGAAATGCAAACAATTATAAACCTCCGTGAGTGGAGCAGGATTATCAACTAAACGACTTTGGATTAACTGATGAATGTACTGAACCTGCAATGAATGTACCAAAGCCTTGCCGTCTGAAAACAAAACCCATGAATAGAAAGAATGTATGCTAAATCCTCCACCTCCAGTTTCTTTGTCTTCAACTAAGATATCAATTTCAAGCAACCGCCACGGTATGTTGGGACCATCACCCATAACAGTCAATGATACTTCAAATTCGTGCTCCACATGAAAAGTAACGCGTCCATTTTCAATCTACAGTACAACTATTGAATGCAATTAGCTTTACAAAATAGAATACCTTCAAGTTTCGTAACTGCGGTAGTAAATTTCCAGTCACAAGCCTGTGCTGTATAACTTGATTTAATCTTAAAAGTGTCGCTCTCTTTTCAGTCATTGAAATGGGATCAGGAGGGACAATTTTCTCACGAATACATGCGGGTAATCGGCCATATGTACCGGTGGTTAAAACTTCAACGGCCGCCGGGATGTGAAAATTGGGCAACCTCGCTTGTACCAATGTTTCTCTGGCCATTCTTGCTAACATGTCAGCCGTTTCGACAAAAAGCAAAGACTGCTTATCCAAAAATGCCATAATACGCTAAGACACACTAAATGAACATCATAGAGTTAAAAGAAAATTTGTATTACGGCAGACTTTTCGACTTTTGACGCACTGCTTGCCCATTTAACCAACGCTAGCAATCGAACGAATAATTGACGTGTCCTTATGGCAAAGTTGTATATCTCTACTTTCCTTTCCATGTCGGTTTTACGAGGAAGCCTTAAACGAAATGATACAATTCGCAGTTGGAAGATATCGATATACTTACAGCTCGGCTAAAACGGTTAGCTCGTGATAAGTACGTTGAACGATAAAATCTATAAGCATAGAAAGAGGTATTTGGCCCCCTCGATTTCCTTCTTGAGCACCTCCGAAACTTTGCACCATGCTGCTTGCCACTGGGGTTTGCAGGCCTTCAAGCGGTACCGGAGCCATCTTTTAAAGGATATGCGCTAATTTTCTCGCAAAATGTGATTTTTCACATGATAATCTGAAGAAATAGAAATAATTTTGGAAAGTTGAGTAGCAAAAGACTGCGCCGCCAACCACAACTACAATAACAAAATAATCTCGATGTTGCCAAGTTGCCAAGTGAGCAGTGTTGCTAGTGTCGCATGTATCAGGTACAGGGTGTTTACAATTAAATGGTTCCAATTCAAAATTATGGCGAACTAAGAAGCATCTCTGTTTACTACAGTCTAGTGCCTAGTGTGTAAGGTTTCGATGCCAACAGCGCTGCTGAGCAATCTAAGTGCTGAGCAGGCCCTGCTACAGTGACTCTATAGAGACAATGTGGCCATACGCGCTTATCCGCCATTTTTTTCCAAATTTATCATTGAGCTTATGGGAGAATCACATATTTTATTTCAAGTCGACATAACTGACCCAGCGCAAAGGAAGTGATATTTTGACGACTTCCGTCGCGTGTTATGCTATTTCCCACCACCGTTATATTCCCTCCTCTTATTTTTTACTCGTAGGTTTATCATATATATAAGGTTTATAGACTAACAGTGGCGTAACTAGGTAGGTGCCAAAGGTGCCGCGGCACAGCGCTCTGAATAGGGAAGGGCGCGCCGGAGGCGCTGAAGCACCGAGGGCACTATGTCGGGATGGGCATCGCGGTGTACCGTATAGGCCAGAACGGCGGTTAAATTCTAATAGTTTGCTAAAGACGAATACAGGGTGCAATGAAATATAATTAAAACTAAATTTACGGTCCTTTAGGATGAACGGAACATCCAAGCGATTTCAGCGCAATTTTGTGTGGTAGATCAGTACTTTATACTTTTATTAGCCAGTTTTGACTCCACAATCAATAAGATCTTGTCAGGGGGCTACTACATTCCCTTTGTCGGTACCCACTTCTGACGCCCCCACAGACGGCGGAGGTATACAAAGTTTGAATCAAAACACTTGTACCACGCTATGATAAGCGCCTCAATATGAATTGCGACTATGTTGAAAAATAGCCTAAGAGTGTAGCTTCCAAATGTACTTATATAATAAAAGTTGTTTCTTACACTGTCTTAATTTTTTATTTCAAAACGTCTGTTACTTTCTGGATGGCCCTTGTAGAACAAAGTTACAGCGGTAGGAAAAGGCTGCAGATTTAAGCTAATAATAATACTTTATTTGTGATATATACAATAGTCTGTATTAGTGTGACCAGCATTTGCACCCTTTTTCTAAGACGCAATCATTTCTACGACTTGTACCCTATGTCATAGCTAAATTTGACGCGAGAATTGAGAACATTATAAATGTATTTTTATTCTTCATTGCGAGTGAAAGACTTCGTTATTCAAACCATTTTTCTAAAATGTAAGTAGTGCAGTGCTTTTAAAATTTCGTGTAAGTTTCTCTCAAAAATGTAAAGTGTTTTATTAATTAGAGCTCAATGGTAAGTGATAAGGCGCGCAAATATGGTAGGGCGCCAAAACCAGACCCGGCACCGCTTCGAAAAATACCTAGTTACGTCACTGTAGACTAATGGTGCATTTTGCATTTAGCATTTTGCATTGAAGCTTTTTTGTAGAGAACTTTATTACCTTCAATGTGCATGTAATAGCCATTTGATTAAATACTGAGGAAAGATATAAAATCAATCCAAGATTATTTTGTGTACCTACACCTACCTTTAGTATTTTAGGAGACTTTCCAACAAATTCAATCAAATATATCGAAAATACGGAAACAGGAAATATGTCAAATAAAAAACTGTAAAAACACCACCAGTTTAAATTTAAATTGTACTTTGGTGACTATGATGTTACTTTGTACCAATCAGGTGCATTTGGTAAAAATATGGCGCTACCAATAGAAAATAACACCACCGTTTGACCACACTGTCACTATAGAGTCGCTGTAGCCGCTGCGAGCAGTTGTTCTGTTATATGGGCGTTCTAAAGAGTTTATAACGGATTGTGTATATTTATTAATTTGCTCAATGAAGGTTTTCGTTCTTTGAGTCTAATATGCAGGGTGACAATTTGAAAACTTACCACCCCCCATATCTTAGCAAATGAACAAGATATTTAAAAAAATCAAAATCCGTTTCGGTAATTCGGAGGGGGAATCACAATTACATAGTTGGCGACGCACCCCCTCACACCCCCTGCGCCCAGCCACCCCAACTTTTAAATCTTAAATAGTGACCCCCCATGTGTGATACGTCGTTGGAAAGCTCTGAAAAAATGCTTTCCAACCATACCAAATAGCATTACATTTAGGTTAGTAATTATCGTGCAAATCAAAAAATAAACTAATATGATACATTTTCTAAAGTTGGCTTTTATTTCAATAAATGTTCAAAATGGTTTCCGTTCTTGGTAAGACAGTATTATTACTATGCGATCAAAAATGAGTTGCTGTCGAGTCGCCCTTTGAAATTTTTGTTTACATGGAAAATCGTATTTAACTTGAACTTCCAAAGCCGACTCGACAGCAACTCATTTTTGATCGCCAGTTATAATCTATTCTCAAACTCTTGTCGAACCTTTTCAAATGTTGGTTTTGCAATATTTCGACATTCTTGAATTATTCTCTGTCTTAGTTCGTCTATGTTCGCCGGTTGTGTTTGAAATACGACAGATTTCAAATGTATCATATTAGTTTATTTTTTGATTTGCACGATAATTACTAACCTAAATGTAATGCTATTTGGTACGGTTGGAAAGCATTTTTTCAGAGCTTTCCAACGACGTATCACACATGGGGGGTCACTATTTAAGATTTAAAAGTTGGGGTGGCTGGGGCGCAGGGGGTTGGAGGGGGTGCGTCGCCAACTATGTCATTGTGATTCCCCCTCCGAATTACCGAAACGGATTTTGATTTTTCTAAATATCTCGTTTATTTACTAAGATATGGGGGGTGGTAAGTTTTCAAATTGTCACCCTGTATATGATAATCAAGTACTCAGAGCAAGTTTATTTCTTGCCATGCCAGATTACCTAGTGCCTACCCTTTAGCCTTAAAGGAGTAGAAGAACACACTGTATTTATAGCAAATCAGCGACTACATTTTTCTCTGGAAATTATCTAACCAAACACCTCTTTTATAATTGTTTTAATAGTAAAGAGTGTACATTACATAGCACATTGATGTCACATAGCGTATGAACGGCTACCAATAGTCAGTAGATTTTATTTGAAAATTATTATGTAATATACGGAATGCTCCGACTGACTCAGGCTCATCTGTTTATAAATATTTCCTATACACAACATTTTTACGATGATTAGTAACTCAGTATGGAATGTGAGGAATTTCACTGATGTTTGTCCTTTTAGCCATCTTACGGAGAATTTCTAATTATTAGTCAGATCGCGTAGCAAACTAATAAAATTAATACTAAAATTTAATAAATCGCTTTATGTGCCTTAGTATGTAAATACGTCGTAAATTATTGTGATTCCTACTTCTGTAAGTATATCTTTTAGGGCTTCACTTTCATAGCTCACTTTACCTACCTCAGTGCATATTGTTATAAAATCATTGTCAACAATACACCCTTTATTTGCAGATGTTTTTGCATAAAGGTTTCGGAGCACATCTACAATGAGTTCGTTGCAGCAAACCAATCGATTTAGAACCTACGTTCCTACCTCACAAGGTTAGTGTTAAAAGGATCGGATATGTTAAAATATAAAGTAAATGAAATTCGCAGGTGCCTTTCTTCAAAGCTTAAGCGGTAGTGAGACTGATGTGTCTACATCGAACGAAAATTTGTCAAATGAAGAGAAATATGTGATTCGACATACTCCTCGCCAAGAACCTCAAGGCCAAGAAAATCTGCAATCGTCAAACAGAAGTTCCTTAAAAGATAGCTTACCATCAAATCGAAGTTCTTTAGATGTATCATCCTCGTCTTATAATACTCTCATCATCCACAGTGCGGGTGACGAACCTTGGACGGGTATGTTGTGTAACATCATAATGAAAAGAATACAATAGTGAGATAACCTGAATGAGAATGACAAATTTAAGGGCGTTGCCATTTATTCCTGATTGTCAAATTAATAGAATAAAATTCAAATCCTCATTCAATGATTACTGAACAAATAAATCAAGACGGTTAAATGGGGACATTATAATCTACTTGTACAGCTGTACACCATTTGATGCAATACTCATTGCTTCATTGTAAAGCTCGTGATAAATCTTAGAAAGGGCTGCAACATCTATCCATTGTATTAAAAGTGGATCGACCTCGGAGACCCTTGGAAAGATCATTGTTTTAAAGTTCTTAAAATTGTTCCAATTAAAACAAATGCAAAAGATCTTGCCAAATTCTCACTATTAATTATAGTTTATATACTTAATATTCATTTCAGAGCAAAATCTCCCTTGTACAGGGCAGAGCATATTTTATATATGCATATTTACTATAAAGTAGGCGACACTAGTGCCACCTAGTAAAGACTTTTTGCCGTCCAGTAGTCTGTAAGAATTACCAATGCCAATTTCAGAGTCGGTGGGAGAGTCTAAAAGTTCACCATAAACAACGACTAAGTTTGCCACATATAAAAATTTAGATTTTTCGATAAAGTGCTTTTGTTATTATAATATGGTTGAATGTTCTCCACATTTTAAAAATATTTGGAATTATACAGGGTGCCAAAATGGTACATTTTTTTCAGTGGAACCCCCTGTATTTGAATGCAGTTTTGAACTCTACGTGTAATTGTACGTCTTTTTTATTATATGGTTAATATCTGAAAAACTAGTAGTTTTAAAGATAATTCGATTTGTAAGAAAAATTTGGCATTTGCAAGCGTCAGTATATTGTCAAAATTATTACTTAAATTTTGATTCCAAAGTTACAAAACTTCATATTAAACAATCTCACTTTTTTTAACTGGAACATCCTGTATATTTTCTGTCATCTTTTAGCTCCTCCCAAAACCTTCAACTTTTGATAATAATGTCCTATAACTATCCCTGATAGTTTTCGAAATATCTTATTTTTTGTGGTTTTTATATTTTAATCTTAAGTTTAATTTACATAATAACTAGGTGAATAGGAAAAAAAATGAAACTAATGTCACTGACTGGATGACATTAGTGGTTAAATTAGGTAAATGTTTTTATTTATTCTCCAGTTTTTGGACTTAAAAAGAATTGTTCCTTGTAGAACCTTTAGGCGGGACGGCGATCTGACCTTAAAGGCCTTATACACAGTTTTTGGGTGAGGTATATTACACTGCAATCATCATATGAACAATGGCTTCATCAGCGTCTTGGGTACTTACACGCCATTCGCTGATTCTTAAGCCGTGCTTTTGCACATGCTTCAGGAGGTGGGTCGGTCCTGTTAGGGTCATTCACAATGATCTCCCTTGGACTAGGTTTTCCGTCAACAGCACGAAGTGTTGCGCCCTCTCATGATTTTAGGGTAGACACAGAGCTGCTGACACAGGTAACCAACAGCCAATCAGGATTACAGGTTGAACGGGAGACACATGGTTCCCTCTTCTAGATATCCCTTGCTAAAGTGCTTTAAGCTCTTCTGTAATATGGTTAGAGTAATCTCCCATGTAAGATGCCTACACTTTTTCCTTCTACTGCCTGCTTAATGACTACAGTTCCTATCGTTGCTGCGTTTTTTTCCCAGCATCATAGTTTGTAATTAACTTGGAAGAAACAATATAGCATAAGCAAACAACAACTTACAACAATATATCAAATAAATTGAGGTAGAATAAGCTTAATATTCTGTTGGCAATAAACCCCCAAAAAGTTAGAGCATCCAAGCAGCACACTGACAAATATCTGTTTATACAGTCTACTTAAGGCTCCTCTGTAGTCAATCCGCCATATTGGAAAAATAGCTAAACTTTCTTATGAAATACTGCTTTTGTAGTTGAAGTCTAACAAATTCTCGATAGTGGATATTCTTTGCAATGATGAAAAGAACGGCGGTACTTAAAAAAAGTTGAAATATCGGTCTTAGTTTTTTAGGAAGATCGATGAATAGGAAAATCGTTTTTCGTAAATAACGGCCGTTGTAATGGGAGTAGAAAAACCTACAGCACCAATTTGGAAATCCGACAGTATTTCTTATGGCGATACTTAAAGATATTATTTCCATCTATTATGATAAGACATATATTTTAAAAAATATGTTTCGCGATCTTCAGAAAAAAATCAAAACGCTAACGTAAGGATAGGCAATTCAAATTGCACTTATAACGCCTGAGGCGACAACTCATTACTTGAAAGGGAAAACAAAAGAAACTATCTGGCATCACCCTACACATTGTTACGCCGTTCCTAATGATATGGATTAGATAAATTACTATTTATTATTTATTTATTTGAATGCTGTTGATTTGTAAATCATAATGTCACATATTCCCAAGACGAAAAATGGATATCCTATTATAGGTACATTGGAAATAATTTTTTATTTCTAAAACCTTTTGCATCCCATCAGGATGCTTCAAGAAACAAAAAAAATCCTATAATGAGGTACGTACAATACTAGGTACTTCACATATTATATCATAAGTAGTGCTGAATATGAACTCTTGTTTTATAACAATGCTTTCAAACTACCAGAAGCGTAGCATTTTATTTCCCATCTAAAATTATCAGTTTCCTCAGATAATCCAGTATGCGGAGCAGTCAGAAGGGCCGATTCCTGAAAAATGTGGTGTAAACGATTTTAACGTTTTAAATGGTCCATTTGGGTCCAAATAACATGTATTTGAAGAGTGCACACCAATTTTTTTCCGGCACAACTTTTGGCAGCCAAAAAACCTCAAAACGTTCGAACTTTTTTCAATTTTTCGCTTAAAACTCGAAAACGGTCCATATTTTATGAATAACACTTCTTTAGTAAATTAAAGAAAACAAAATTCTGCGTCGATAAAAAAACAAACAAAATCGGTCCAATAGAAAAATTTTTACAAGCGATCAAAAAACGCCCATTTTTTCCAACTTTTCTAAAGAACTGAGTTAACCTTTTTTTAATGCGTTGTGGCTCCTAAAGGAACGATAAAATCCACTACCCCCCCTCCCTAAAGATTGTAGAACATCAATCAGAGAGTTCAAAAAGTACCAACAATTTAAAATTGGACCAATTTTTGAAATTCGTTGGAAAAAATGGGCGTTTTTTGATCGCTTGTAAACATTTTTCTATTGGACCGATTTTGTTTGTTTTTTTTGATCGACGCATAATTTTGAATTTCTTTAATTTTCTAAAGAAGTGTTATTCATAAAATATGGACCGTTTTCGAGTTTTAAGCGAAAAACTAAAAAAATGCCAAAAATTTTGAGGTTTTTTGGCTGCCAAAAGTTGTGCCGGGAAAAAATTTGTGCGTACTCTTCAAATACATGTTATTTGGACCCAAATGGACCATTTAAAACAATAAAATCTTTTACACCACCTTTTGCAGGTCAAAATTATCTGCATACTGGACTAAGAGTAAGTCTTCGTGAAAATTATCTATTTCGAGAAATGCGACCAAAAGCAAAAGATGCACATGCCCTTTGCTTTCCATAAAGTTGCGCCCAATAGATAACAAATGACACATAGGCATTTTTTCACTTATTAGCGGAACATAAACATAGGAAACGTCGTGGTATGTTATATAAAAGAAACGCTACCGATATAAATACAATTCCCCTTTTTAGTTAAATTCCTAAGCGGGATACGATAGCTAATGGCCGACACTGACAATTTTATTTAAAACAAAGTGTCACTGTTTTGCTCATGTAAAGTTAAGTTAGTGAAAGTGGTGGATATAAAAAAATTCTTGCACTTTTAAAAAAATTCGACTATTTATCTTTCTCTTTGAGAATACCTTTTGATGGAGTCCCACAAACTTCACATCAACTTGACGAATTTTTTTCAAATTTCCAATACTATGTAGCGACAGGAACCGGTAAATATTTACTACTACCTACTTCTTTTTTCAATATGGACTGATATCAACTTTATCAACAGGAATATTTGTCCCTCAAAAAATAGGAGGATCAAGTAAATTTTATTTTTACCATTGAATTCAGGGCAAAAAAGTGAAGTCATCTTACCGCACAAAAGATGTTCGGAAAAATTCTCCATGGGTCGTGCATAGATATAAATAAGTAATACGCTAAATGTACAATTGTTATTAATTTTTGAAAAGATAAGGATTTATTTAGAATCAGTATAAATGTTATACTTTTAATCATTGTAACAGAATTTTAAATGTTAGATGCCATTTTTATGAAAAACATACAATTTTTGTTGTTGTTCACAGTAAAAATGATAGAACAAATCACAAGAAATAAAGGGGTAATTAAAAAATGTTATAACAAACAATACTACTCTAGTCCACTAATTACCTGAAAACCAGGTAATTTACAGAAGGTGTCATTATAGAATAATGCAGTGAATGCATTGAATAAGTAATTTATTCAATGGCAACAGAAATAGGTATTTCTGCATCTCCAGTCAAATATTGTACAGCTTTTCGATAAACTTGTTTGCATAATTAGTCGTTGATCATTATACATGGTCTATTGCGTTTAACAATAAATGAAGAGAATATCTATGCAAAACTGAGAAGGATAGATACATCGTTGGTTTCACTCAAGGAGATCATGTAGCAGTGTGTATTGTTGGTGGTCTAACCAATTGCAATAACACTGAAATACAAATTGACTACAGAGGAGCCTTAAGTTGGCAACACATTAGGTAGCTACTGGAAATTGCGAAATTATTACGAAAGCTTTTACTTTTTCTGGTGGATACTCTATTGTTGCAAGTTTGATGCGTAATTTATTAGTAGGCATGTAGCAATTTTTAGCAGGAAACAACAAGGACACTAGAATATGTAACCTTCAATCTCCAAAATGTAATAATATGATTCAGTTGACTTATACAATAACAAAAGAGCATTATTGTCAGGACATTTGCCCAACTTGAGAACTACAAAATCTCAATTTTTCTCTGTAAAGTCATCTCACTATATTATTCTTTACCCTATAGTACCATATCTCAACTAAATATAGGGTGACACTCGTAAATTGTGAACAGGGCGCAATTCGGGAACAACAGACATTGGACCACCTAGCTATTTATCTCATCAGTCCAGTAGTTTATTTAGTGATCCCAAACTGTCCCCTATACAAAAAAGAAGCTCGGCCTCACCTTCACCATCACTGTCAAGTAGTTCTAAGGATCACCTTCGGAATAGTTTAGAGGCAGCAAGTCTACGCGCATACAACACAGGAGTACAAGAGATAACGAATATACCTGATGATTACTTAAATCAATCGTCTGTGTTAAAACATTTAGCCAAAGAAGTTAAAGTTCCATCTCCGAACGGTACCTCAAAAAATAACGAACACCTAGATACGTTATACAAAGAAAAATTTGATTACGATGTTGACAATAACATGGTGCCGCCTCCTCAGTATCCACACTGGGTAGACAAAATGAAACTGTCCAAATCTCAACCTGATTTGTCTAAAGTTGGCGTATGTAAAATTGGAGGCGACCTAATGAACTTTAGGAGAGGTGTTTCGGTACCCAGACCGAAGACAAAGGGTCGCGAGGAGACCGACAGTAACAAGTCTATCGAATTCGGATCACCTCTCGAAATGATAGAGATACTTATTAAGGAAAATAGCGCTTTGAAACAGGAATTGGAAAATTGTTATCAGAAAGTTGCGAAAACACAAAAGGTAGGTTTGGTTTTTCCATTTTTTTCTTTATAATGCATGTTGATTTCAATAGGGGCCAAAGTTTAAGATTGTGTTTTAAGCAATATTTGATGAAAAAGATTGAAGTGACTCTCACTGATGGTATGCAATTTGTTTGTTTGGTATTAGGATCTTTTAGCAAATAACTATTTGAATTCTGTGCATTTTCTGAACTATCAAACCTTCCTCCCCCCCCCCCTTAACATGACTTGCTAATGCAATGGTATGCGATCATTATGCCACCCACAAAATACCTATCAAGCTACCTCAAAACAAAACAGCCTTAAAATTTATAATTGTAATTATTTTCCTCATTGACGTCTGGCTCTTGTCCCAATATTGACTTTAAATTAATAATTTGGGAGACTGTAGCTTCGATCAACTTCCGAAAATTCTAAAGAATTAACTACACCTGACAATTCTAGGGGCACAGAAAGAAAAATCTGACATGAAAAACTATCCGAGTCGTACAATGGATTCGAATAAACCCACAATTGATTGACAAAATTTTATTCCGAAACGCATGTAAACACAAATAAAACAAAACCTTTAAAGAAAGAAAAGCTTATAAAGCTTGTTTGGACATATTACCCTACACGCAGACGGTCGACAATTAAAATAAGAAATATTAAAATTAAAATCACCTACAGTTTTTTCATAATAATACAAATACCCTGGTAGTAAAAGGTTTGCGATACTAGGCGCACTTAAATCACACACAAACGCTGACAGTTTCTGAACTTCACTTCACTTTCTGAACTTCACTTCACTTTCACGTTGTTGGAATGTATTTTATTTGCTAAAACGAACTATGCCAAATACAAAATTCAATCTGAACTGCATAGTTACAATACTAGGAATAAGAACAACATTAGAGTGGATTACTGTAGAATAGCAAAAACTCAAAATAACCATGACTACCTATCTCAAAAAATATTTAATTTACTGCCTGAAAATGTTCAAATGTATAACAAAAAACAATTAAAAACAATAATTAAGAAATACCTATTTGATAAGGCATATTTTTCAGTGCACGAATGTTTAACCGAAGGCTTTACCAATATTTTACACACAGGTGGTGGCATAAACTGAAGTTGTGTTGTTTGTCTATATTATGTGTGATATAGTGTGTTATATATTTTAATTTTTAAGAAACTAGTTGACAAATGTAAGTGCTATTGCGCGTAAACAGGAATAAAAAAAAAGATTATTATTACCCAGAATTAGCCTGACAAACAAAACTGATTTGATGAATAAAATGACAATTTTCGGTGGCTGTTCGGACGGTAGAAACTTTTAACTTTGAATAAGAAGAGAGCCTTAACAAAAAGCCTCTCTGTCCTTCAACTTCTTGATCTTTCAACTCGATGAATACTATTCCATAATCGGACAACACGAGTTAAACTTCTTACCGCCACTTTGGTTAACTTGCCCTTCTTTATGAATTTTCAATAATGACGGAACGCACCAAACTTCCGCACTTCTCCAACATGAAACTCGCAATTCTTTGATGCATATGCGTTTTCGCACCAGAACATGTGCGTTAATTAGATTTCGCATAACAATCAAACTTCTTATCGCAAACGACCGGATCTGTCTTATCTGAATTGAATAATTTACAAAAGCGATCAAATTTAAAACAAAAACCACGCAATTACAAACAATTTTAAAAGGAAACGCAAATACGGAAATAAAAATTCAAGTAAAATAAACTAATTTTGTGTTTATTCGTAAATAACCCCCCGGATTTACCATTTACTTAACAAATTTGAAATAATCTCACATACAGGACGTCCCGTCATTATTTTTGGTGTTTAGACCGAAATACACTCAGACATATATGACTACAATATTGTATGTTAGAGTTGCCACAGTCGTAAACAGTTACGACTTTCTAGAATGTAACAATATGTTGAGTAAATTGGGGGGGATCAATAAATTTTGAAAAGGAATACTTTTACTATGATGTTTTTTTATTACATAGTTAGAGCAAGAAATATTTAAAGTACATCGATCACACGAGGAACTTGTTCAGTCATGTGATCGGCGAGAAAGATTGGAACGCGCAGCCAGAGGAAGATTGCAGACAGACTGTCGGCGTTTACAAGAGCTAAATAGAACCCTAAGAGAACAAGTCGATCTGCTTAGTACGCAAATGTTATCACGTTCGCCCGTTCAGGACGGCGTTGGACCAGACATACGACGAGAACTAAATAAGCGGGAAGTACTTATTGCTCAGCTCATTACACAAAGTAAGTATGATTGTGGTTAAGTTTGGCAGCACAAGTTGGGGATTTTTTACAGATAAGGAATTAGTTGCTGCAAAGGAGAGGCAGGAAATAGAATTGGCTGCACAAAGAGCAACACTTCAAGAACAGAGAACACACATTGACATTTTAGACACTGCTCTAACAAATGCTCAAGGGAATGTGGTTCGTCTAGAAGATGAGTGTCGCAAGAAACAGGTTTATGTCGAACGAGTTGTGCAGCTGCAGAAGGCGTTATCGTCCCTTCAACTTGCCAGCGAACGGCGCGAACAAACAGAGCGTAAATTAAGGCTGCAATTAGAACGTGAGTTACAGCGTACGAGGGGCATGGCGGGTGATGAAATGAAACACGGATGGGGTTCTCCCAGTGGATCTGGTGAAGAGTCTGCATCAGAACTTAAGAGGCGATTACGAGAAAAGGATGAGAAGATAATGAGGATTGAAGGAGAATGTTCGAAATGGGAACAAAGGTACTTGGAAGAAAGTGCTTTAAGGCAAGCCGCCATTGATGCTGCAAGCATTCCTAAGTAAGTTATATAAAATGCTTGTAAGTATTAAACGAATCATAAATGTTGTAGAGATGCCAAAATTGCTGCATTAGAAAAAACAAGCCAAGAAACTGAGAAGATCATTGCTGAAGCTAGAAATGAAAAAATTCGGCACATGGACGAAGTACATGCGGCTCAAAAGAAAGTTGCTGATTTGGAATCCAGGTACTTTACTACTCGTTAGAATGACCTAGACAGTATAATATTTGCAGATTGAAAGATTTAGAATCGAAACTAGCAGAACGTGATGCTATGATAAAAGTATTACAGAAACATACATATGATAAGGACGTTTCCAGTATGTTGGGGCGTTCTCCTCATCACACGCCTCATCCAAGCCTAGGCGCCGCAGATATCGATCATGTGCTCGGTGGTACTGTGTCAAGAGAAGAACTCGGTAAGTTTTAAGTCTCGCACTTTATACCTCTTTACCAACTTTGGTAATGTACAGTGAATAGCGTCCTGAATGGATCGACAGGATTTGGTTCTGGTAATTCCTACACAAGCAGTGATACTTCCTACCATGTGCCAACCTACAATAAATACGAAACCAATAAAAGTTTTGACAGCACAAAGCAAACCCTTGACAACCAGCTTAAAGAAATTGATAGCCAACTAGATTCACAACTTCTTAGCAAGGTAGGGGAAACTGAAACCTTCTATTGATTATGCTTTCGGTGTAAGACCTGTATTCCATATAATTTCTCGTAAATTCAATGTGGAATCGGTCTAATAATTTCAGTTAATTATTTAAAATCGAAAAAGATCAAATAGTGAGTTTTGGTTTTCTTTTTTGGTTTTGTTTTGAAGTGTGCTCTTGTAGTTTAAAGTAGAGTATTTAATTGTACATATTTGTATCATAATTGAACTTATTTAATATTTGCACCCTTATTTAATACTCATAATATACAACTGATTTTGCCTAAATTACGCTTTCAATTTTTAAATCATTCAATTTCTGATGGGATTTCTTCGCAATAACGAAAATTTTTGCATAATTATGAATAGGTGTATATCTACAATTTTAATTCCTTCTTACCACTGACGTTTACTACACTAGTCCCGCAGGAAAATTATTAAACTTGTTTTTAATTTAGAAAGGTAGGATACAATACAGATGTCAACATTTTTGCTTTTGAAATGTTTAGTACAAAATAAATATTGTAATGAAAATGATTTGCAAAAAAATCCCATTAACCTTAATTACATTTGATGTAAAATGCAGCATGTTAATAATCGATTTTGATAGTGTGCTTTTATTTATTTATTATTGTGTTAATAGTGTGGTGGGATTTTTTTGTTTATGTTTTTAAGATAGTCTTTCCATTCGGCTATATGAGATATTAGTATAGTTACCAGCCTTGACCGAATATAATCAAAAATTAGTCAAGGCTGTAGGTATTTGTAGTGAAGCACGCTATTTTATAACAATAATAAATAAATATTTTTATTATTTTGTGTTCTGACTAATTTGCTAACGGTCCAATTATTATAGTTGTCCATTAACCACTGCATGTAGTGTCAAAGCAGAGTGGCGTGCCGTGACTAACAATAATTCAGCAGGTCCGACACGTCCCATTCTTGCTTTTCTATTCTCCTTTTCAGCGGGGTCTTTGCTGTTTTCCAGGATTCACTAATCCAGTCACTGCGCAGAGAAAAGGAAAAATACCCAAGCCATTACTGGCGGGTGTAAATACAAATAGTGGCGGATTATTTGAATCGGGAACGTTTCTGTTGCAACCTCAAAGGCACGAATCTGGTGAAATGTTGTTGTTAGAGAAGCAGGGTAGAAGTTCCCAACAGCAACGTATGCAAGAGTCGCCCGAAACAAATTCGTCCGTGCCTGACAGTCCCACCACTCATTGTTCCGATAACTTACCTCCAAGTTCTCTGCCGAGACCACCGCGAACTTCTCATCGCACTGGTTTACCTAGACGAGTCGGTGATTACAACCGTTTAGATACTGAGATGCCTCGAAAAAAGTCGGATGGTGGTAACTCTTTGAGCTCCAATGGTAGCAGTCACAGAGCTTCTCCTGTCCGTTCCTTAATACCTCCACCGAGAAAACTGGGTGAATATGGAAGATTGTCCGAAAGTGGAGGTTCCAGTTCTTCAATAAGGAAGCCATCATCTAGACTTGCTGGAGAAAGAGATTCGGCTTCTACCCTAAGTGATAATTCAGCCAGTTCCTTACCACCGCCATCGAAAATAAAGCTTTTTGGAAATTCATCAAGGAGGGGATCATCACTAGGTCGGGAAAGTAAGTCATCTACCGACTCTAGCTCTAGTAAGTATCGAATTCAGTTTTAAAATTGTAATAGTAATAATGCGAGGTGTTTTCAACTTTTATAGAAGTGAATCTCTTTTGTTGTGTTATTCTTGAATGTCATTCCTTTCAATTTTATACACCCGTAAAATGAACCAGCTATTGTATTGGTTGAAAGAAACGTCTCTAAAATATTTGGTTCAAGATCACAATGCAATTTTAGGTGCTATAAAGTTTCTCAATAAGGGTGTTACAAATCAGTTACCATTAAAACGAAACACTGCCAAAAAGAAACTAAACATTTTGAGTCCAAATATTTTTTATATAAATATTTTTGAAATGACAATGTGCCAAATATTTTAATGAGGTTGAACATGATCTGAAGTGTTACAACTTTTGTATTATTTTATACTGTAAATATGGTTTCTATTTATATATATTTAATGATTGATTCTAGTCTGTGTGTAACCAACTCTGTTAACTTTCTGATAATAAATATTTATACTGTTTTTAAACCTTTTTTTCACTGGTAGTGAACCAGTGTCTCGTGCAAGATGGTTCATAACTGTTATACCATTGAAAAGGACAAGGGTTAAATATGCAAAATTAGTTTTAAAAAAAATAAAGGCCAACAATTTACTTAATTATAATAATAATAATAATGCTTTATTGCCCAAACAGAAAAATTCAATAACAGGACAAAATTAAATTAAAGTAGGAGATGATAATAACACATGATTTATAAAAATAAAAATATTTAAATCAAAATGAACTCGTAGAGTAGATATAACCTCTGATTTACAATATAAAAAGTATATATGACTAATTTAATTTGTAATTAACTGAATAATAAATTTAGGTTTCATAAAAAAATATCACTTGCATTCAAAATTAAATTATAGTCTTTACACATGGCATATATCAGCGATTTCTCTAAAAATATTGCTTTTTGCCAAGAGTGTGTAAAATGTAAAAACATGCCTTGACGACAGTCTAGGCACGGAAAAACTTCTCTTCTCTGTATTCTTTTAAGGGGATCGGGATTTCGGCAACAGCCTTCAGGTTTCAGCATTACTTTCGTACTGCATCGTTTAGTCTGATAAGTGAAAGCCATTCCTGAAGTTGATAATTTACGAATTTCCTTTATTCTTTTATAAATCTTTTTAATCTCAAAATACCTATCTCAAATAATTTATCAAATGGAAGCGTTTTAATTTTCATGTCTATATCCCAAGCGCGAGAGCTTCCGTTCCATCTTTAGTCGTGTCCCTGTATTGTATAGTTCCTGGCAAGTTGTTTCTTTGGGCTTTTCACTTTAATTTAATGATTTTCAAAATAAAGATTGCATTTTTTATTTTAACAAAAAAAATGATTTTTATTAGAAACATTTTTTCGAATAAATAAATAAGGAACTCGGACAACAACTCGATTTTCATTTTTAATTTAATTAAAAATGCAGCGATTTGTATTTTATGAGACGATTTCGCTTCGATTCTGAGATTTTCGCCCCTGGGAAATTCTCCTGAGCGGCTGGGGAGCATCGTCGTCGAGGTGCGCGTGCGCGGATAAAAATTCGCCATTTCCATACGGTCGGGATTAGAACGTCCGGACTCCGGTTCGGGGGGTTTAGATAATTGGCGCAACTTTCGGTAAGGTTAAGAAAATTCCCGCGGCACCTGTCGAGGTGGCTGCCATAAGAAGCAAAAAAATTGAAAATTTTAGAAAAAAATTCGTAGTTCGAAAACTAAGCCAATCCTATTGAGGTTTTCCGAGATCTTGGCCGACGTGGAGGAGCGTCTGGGGTGCGATTATTATTATTATTGTTTCTTTGGGCATTTCACTTTAATTTATTAATTTTCAAAATAAAGATTGCATGTTTTATTTAAAAAAAAAAGATTTATTAGGTACCATAAAAATAAAACAACTTTTATTACAAACATTTTTTCATATAAAGCACTGACAGACACAAATTTTTTAAAAAAATGAAATGACATTTAGAACTTAAAATGAGAAAGAACATTAAATTTTGAATGAACAAGGGTTCAGGGGTCCCCAAATCCCAGTGGCATACAGGCCCACAAAGGTCTTGCTACGCCACTGACACCACGCATGCAAATTGGATAAAACTTGCAGATGTGTTGCATATTGACTCCCTGGGTATTGCGCAAACGCAAGCGCGCTTAAATTTGAATTTGCTTTAACGCGCTCTAATTAATAAAGCCTTCGGTCATCACTGTGAATTCCAGTTACATTATAGCCCCAACAACCGTCATGATCCTTTACAGCATAATATGGAATAAACAACAAGAATTGTAACGTTATTATTTATTATAATCAAAACCCTTCTAACATATTCTACCAGATAAATCACTATAAACCAAGCTATAAACTATTGTGCTCCATTTTTTATAGATGTGATGTTGATAAATGTATATGAGTGTTGGGAAACAAGGAGTAGCTTTTTGCAATAGTTTACTCACCCTGGTGCCACAGTGTTGATCAACCTCATAATCACATGTTATGCTAGTAGCTTTCATTTCTTTCTAATTATCCAATATAAACAATTTTTTTTTTCGAAAACTACCCGAGACGTGAGATTGTAAATTCTAATCAAGTGAGATCTCCACTCGAGATTGCATTCACTAGATCAGCGTTTCCCAACCGGTGGTTCGCGAACTCCTGGGGGTTCGCGGGCGCTTTCCAAGGGGTTCGCAGAACAAAAAACCATAATGGCGGAATTAATTTACTTAAGCTAAATTTAGGTATTTCAATCATGTATAGCACTAATGAGTAATCCATTAAAATCGTTTGCGCATGATTGCAGCATTCAATGCGAGTGTAAACGAATGAAAAACCCGCTACAATATATTTCTTTCACTTCTCAATTCAGTGGTAGGTTCACTTGACTTCATGACAGTTTTAACTCTTGACGTTAAACTGAAAGTGATTAGGAAAACCACTTCAAAGGTAAACTATGGAACAGTGGCTGAAGACAGGGAGTATTACTAGGACCGATAGACTAAAGTAAGGAGATACATGAGGTACCGCCTGACGTTTCTGTGTTATCATCAGTTACGGATCGTGAAGTAACACACAAGGATAGTAGTGACATGAAAACAAAGAAGAGAAAGTATGACAATGTTAAATTATGAACAAGAATAAGTTGGGGGTTCGCCAGAAAAAAAAATCTAAAGGGGGGTTCGTTGTTAGTAAAAGGTTGGGAACCACTGCACTAGATGGTAGTAGGCGAGGTAGCGAATTGAAATTTGTATAGGTATGTCCTGTGTTATTTATTTTATTGGACTGCAAGTGGTAGAAGTCTAGAGCAGCTACAATAGGTCTTGTTCAGCTTATAGTAAAACTCGTGTGTACTTTCGTTTCGGTGTACATACCTAGAGTACTGAGGTAGCAGTATGTAGGTATATTGCGAGAGTGATGGAAAAAATTAATAAAGATATTGTAAATGTTTCTTAAAGAGCCCTTTACCACATTACATATTCAAATTTAAGGGCGCTTGCGTTTGCGCAGTACCGAGGGAGTCAATATGCAACACATCTGCAAGTAAGCCTTCGTCGTTCTCGACATCTGTGGAGAACGATTGCTGTATATACAAAGCGTTTCGTAGTTTTCCCATAATTACTTTCTGATGTAAAGTGTGTTGCCTATAGCATATGACAGCCTAACCATAGGACCATTGAATTTAGTTATAAATTCAATGATGTCACAAAAAAAATCTGATGGGGTGCAGTTCTTTGGATGCATGATCCAATGCGTCATTTCTGGACAAAATGTGCCATTCCATGCTGTGGCGTTTGTAGGTCGTATTCAATCAGCCGAATTTCGTCACCAATAATAACGAAGTTACAAGAACTGGGAGTTATTTTCAATAGATACCAAACATCAAGAGTTTGGCTCGACCATTGAGAGTTTCCCTCTATTTCTGTAGCAAAATTGCCCTCCAAGAAAACTAGTTTCCAGGTAAATACCAGCTGCTCTGAAAAATTAACATCGAAGCGAATAAAATACAGTATCATATTTATCAAAAATGAATTTTTTATACACTTAGATTGCACTTCCAAATTGGTTGCCTAAATTTGGGGCAATAAATTAAACAATGTGATTGGGGTTCAATATGAATGTATGTTATGTTGCCTACTCTTCTTTTTAGCGCATTTTCCAACGAAGCTTATAGCTCTGGCACCTGATCTTCTGTGAAAGGCATACCTACATATCTGATATTGCAAACATTAGATATGCGCATGCGCAGTCAGTGCCAACTTCCTTATTTATTAAGATATTTCTTTTTAACCATAGATGCTTCTAGTGAAGAAAAACATATCACATGTAGTAAAAATCGAAAACTACATCTGTCATTAGCAAAGGCAAACATATCGCATATCGTAAAAATCAAATGCGCAGACTGCAAATTCCCCACTTTTTTACTCATGAAGTCTAATAAAGAAAAACATAGCGCACATATAGCTATAGCATTTTGGGAAGTATACTGATAAATTCATGGAAAATGCACTCAACTTCCTCGCCTTAGGGCGAAAACCTTTTAACTTGTTTAAGATTCTTTCTTTCAATTGTTTTCAATTTCTTCAAATCAGATCTTTTAGATTTCTAACCGTTCCTTCAAATTCTTCCGATATTTTACATGCTTCAGATTTGTATGATTCCTCGGATTCTTTAATTCCTTCGAATTCTTCCGGATTCGTCAATTTTTCAAAGCCATAAGATTCTTCGTAGTGTACAGTGTTTCCGAATTCTTCTGATGCTAAATTAAGTTTTTCCATTTGTTAAGATGAGTTCAAACCCGTTAGATTCTTCCATTTCCTCATTGGTCGCTTCTTCATAGTTCTCAAACTTTCCTAGTCTCACAGATAGCTATACACAAATATATTCCTCAACTCTTGTATTCAAAATCTTTTAATTCTCGAAATTCTTCAGACTCTAGATTATTCCAATTTTTCCACCAGATCATTCAAATATTTAAGATTTTTTGGTTTGTTTCGTTTTTGATTCTTTTTTCTAAATTCTACAAACTCTTTAGATTACCTACTCTATTTTTAAGAATCATTCCAGTCTTGAGATTCCTCAGACTGCAATTTTTTGTCTGTAGGATTCTTTATATAAATAAAATAGGGATAAAAATCGTAACACAGCTTCTTCTCAAATTAGTTCACAATGTCTTCGTTGACCATAAAGTAGGCACATTTTCGACCCACAAAAGTAGATAATTGTTTACACGTAAACTTTTATCCCATGGCAACAAAAGATTTCTTTCATCTGTTGCAGGACACAGGCATAAAGATCCTGCCATTTTTTGATCCATGCTTGTAGTAGGGTAGAACACCACCTGAAATCCCTAATATGTCAGTATAAATTTGTAAACGTGGGGTATTATTACCTTGCGCACCCTACCTACTAAGTATACAGAGTGTAACAATTAAGTATTTAAAAAAAATGAGGTGATTAAAACAATCATTTTTTCAAATAAACCGAAGGC